GTGTGTGTAAACTGCAAGAGTCTAAGCCATGGTTTACTCATGGGGGTTATTACGTAAGCAATCACTGGCTAGGTTGGTGCAATTTCACAAGCCCAAATCAAACAAAGCAAAGACTTAGTGCCAACTGGCGACACCACCTCGGGATTTAAATCACGCCGAAAGTGACAAGGGCTTCGTTCACAGGCTAGGATATGCCAGGGATTCTCACAATCCTGGCTTACTGTGGCATGTAAGCCCAGCCAGAGAGTGACCAACAACGCAACGGTTATCCGATCGTCCTGAGCTCTCGTAGTTACAGGAGCCACTAATTGCTTTGGAGCCATCAAGGGTTTGATTACCTCGGACTTTACGCTGTTTTATTGCGGCATTCTAGACAGACCGTGGGCCAAAAACTTCTCCCCCCCCCCCGAGTATACTTAATTGAGAAATCAAAAGCTTTTAAGAAGAGACTGGAGAGCCATTTGCCTGAAATGGTATGGGGTTTCCTGCCTGAGCAGGGGGTTGGACTAGATGACCTCCAAGGTCCCTTCCAACTTTATTATTATTATTATTATTATTATTATTATTATTATTATTATTATTATTATTATTATTATTATTATTATTATTATTATTATTATTATTATTAGACTGGAGGCTAAAACATATAATGAATAATTGCAGGAATTGGGTATTTCTAGTTTAATTAAGAGAAGGACCAGGGGGTGACATGATAGCAGTGTTCCAGTATCTCAGGGGCTGCCCCAAAGAAGAGGGAGTCAAGCTATTCTCCAAAGCGCCCGAAGGCAGGACAAGAAGCAACGGATGGAAACTAAGCAAGGAGAGAAGCAACCTAGAATGAAGGAGAAACTTCCTGACAGTTCGAACAATTAACCAGTGGAACAACCTGCCTCCAGAAGCTGTGAATACTCCAACACTGGAAGTTTTTAAGAAGAGATTGGACAGCCATTTGCCTGAAATGGTATGGGGTTTCCTGCCTGAGCAGGGGGTTGGACTAGATGACCTCCAAGGTCCCTTCCAACATTATGATGATGATGATGATGATGATGATGGTGATGATGATGATGATAAAGGGACTAGAGGCTAAAACATATAATGAATAATTGCAGGAATTGGGTATTTTTAGTTTAATTAAGAGAAGGACCAGGGGGGTGACATGATAGCAGTGTTCCAATATTTGAGGGGCTGCCACAAAGAAGAGGGAGTCAAGCTATTCTCCAAGGCGCCTGAAGGCAGGACAAGAAGCAACGGATGGAAACTAATCAAGGACAGAAGCAACCTAGAACCAAGGAGAAACTTCCTGACAGTGAGAACAATTAACCAGTGGAACAACCTGCCTCCAGAAGTGGTGAATGCTCCAACACTGGAAGTTTTTAAGAAGAGATTGGACAGCCATTTGTCTGAAATGGTATAGGGTTTCCTGTCTGAGTAGGGGGTTGGACTAGATGACCTCCAAGGTCCCTTCCAACTTTATCATCATCATCATCATCATCATCATCATCACCACCATCACCATCATCAAGTTAGTCACCCGATTAAGCGAATCTGGCTATCCCATAGTCAGCAGGTCGCAAAAGAGGAACTGCGTGACTCCCCCCGGGACGCTGCGACGGTCATCAACACGAGTCAGTTCCCAAGCGTCTGAATATTGATCACGTGACCGTGGGGGACGCTGCAACGGTCGTGAAGTCTGAAAAACGGCCCCGAGTCCCCTTTTTTTCAGGGCCGTTGTAACTTGGAACGGTCACTAAATGAACCGCAGCTAAGTCCAGGGCCGCTTGCGTCCCCTTCCTGGGAAAATTCTCCAGCCTGGAATCAGGTGGGGGGGGGACCAGCCCCGCCGCCTTCTGCCTCCCAGGCCTTGGATGGGCTTTTGCTTGACATTTTCTAGCAGACGCAGCCGGGAGGCACAATTGGCCGGTCTCCAAGCAGAAAAAGCTGTCTCGGTTTGCAAAGGCCGGGAGTTTTCGCAAAGAGCGGAAAACGGGCAGCCGGGCCGTCGCTCCCGTTGCAGAAAAGCTGCGGGCCCCCAAAAACTCCCCTTACCTTTAAGCCCGTCTTTTCGTCATCGCTACCGTTATTGGTGGAGGGCGTTTCATCTCCCTGCCGGGAAATCAAGACAAAATCTTCACTGTTGAGGGTGGACACGGAATCGGAAGAGACGCTGATCTTGCCCACCGAGGCCTTGTCATCCATTGCTTGAGAAAGGGAAGCCTGGAGCAGAGGTGGCCTGGAGGAGGACGACGCACCTGGAAAAAGACCAACGGCACCATCATTGTCGTCCCTTGCTGGAGGGCTGTGAGAAAGAGGGAGGGAGGGGGGGAGGGAGGGAGGGGGGGGATCCCCAGCGCAGGCCAGCCAAGGAGTTCAATTCTAGACTTTTGCAGGGCTTTTGAAAGTCCTCGGTGCTCTCTGAGCTTGCTTGCTTCCTTGCGGACGTTTCCCTACCAAACTAGGTAACATTATCAGTGCTAGAAGGCAATGGGCTTTAGAAAGAACAGGAGAAGAGGAAGCTGGAGGAGGAGGAGGAGGAGGAGGAGGAGGAGGAGGAGGAGGAGAAGAAGGAGAACTATGGGGTCCTTGGTACTCCTGGAGCTTGGTGATTTTCTTGCAGACCTTTTATTACCTAACCAGGTAACAGCATCACTGGGAGGAGGAGGAGGAGGACTGTGGGGTCCTTGGGGCTCTCTGAGCTTGGTGCTTTTCTTGCAGACATTGCATTACCAAACTAGGGAACATCATCAGTGGGTAATGAAACGTCTGCAAAAAAAAAAAAACAAACCCACCAAGCTCAGAGAGCACCAAGGACCCCACAGTTGTCGCCGTCTTCCTCCTCCTCCTCCTCCTCCTCCTCCTCCTCCTCCTCCTCCTCCTCTCTGCAAACTCACCCCCTTCTAGCACTGATGATGTTCCCTAGTTGAGAACTGTGGGGTCCTCAGTGCTCTCTGAATTTGCTTGTCGAGGACTACTCTACTGGCATAGCCTTAAACCTCGCTGCCAAATTCAATACCCCAAGAATCTTTTCAACTCGGGAAACCTCCGGCTGAGCGGGAGATAAAAAAAACTCTCTCAGTCCAAGGTGGGAAGGAAGCACAGATTTTACTAGCTTCCCCAAAGATGCTTTTTCCTCAGGCAAGTGGACTTTCTTATTTTTCTTCGAAGACGTTTCGCTTCTCATGCCAGAAGCTTCTTCAGCTCTGAGTGGATGGCGGGGAATGGAAAGATTTATCCTCCTTGCAGACAGCTGGTCGTTTGCGCTCTTTCTGAGAGTCGTTGAGGCCACTTGGAGCCTTATTTGTGTCTTCTGGGTCACCTGAGCAGTGCAAATGGGCGTGGAGCCTTCTTGGAACTGTTGAAAGGACTGTGTTGTAGAGTGGAGGTAGATGACGCCGTATGCCTCCCCCTCTACAACACAAATCCTTTCGGCAGCTCCAAGAAGGCTCCACACCTGTTTGCACTGCTCAGGTGACCCAGAAGACACAGATAAGCCTCCAGGTGGCATCAACGACCCTCTAAAACAGACATGTCAAACACAAGGCCTGGGGGCCGGATGCGGCCCGCGACGTGGCTTCATATGGCCCGCGAAGCCATCCTGGAAACAGTGAGGGAACAGCCCCCGCTGCCTTGGCCCTGGTCCAGGCCGGCCGGGAGCCAATGTACAATTTTGCGGTGGCCATTTATGCTGAAACGCATTCAGTCTTAGCTCCACAAGGGTGTCTGGAAACAGCGAGGGACCAGCCCCTGCCGTGTCGCCCCCGCCCCCTGGGTGCATGCTGGGGAGGGGTCACCCTTTGTGAGGAATGAAGAAATGGGTCCATGCCTTGGCGCTTGCCCCGGTCCCCCCCCTTCTGCCAGAGACCCCCAGATCTGTCCCACTCCTGGCCAGGCCCCCACAGGCCCCCTTGATGAGAACGATGTAGAGCTGGCCACGCCCACCCAGTAGGCCACACTCCACCCATGCCCACCCAGTAGGCTGCGCCCACCCTGGCCACACCTACCCGCCCCCCCCCCAGGACAACCGCAATGCTGATGCGGCCCTCAATGAAATTGAGTTTGACACCCCTGCTCTAAAAGGAGGCAAATGACCAGAGGTCTGCAAGGAGTATAAATCCTTCCCTTCCCCACCATCCAGTCAGAGCTGAGGAAGCTTCTGGGATGAGAAGCGAAACGTCTTCAAAGAAAAAACGAGAAAGTCCAGCTGCTTCTTGAAAAAGCACCTTTGGGACAACCGTGTCCTGGATGACGGAGACTCTCCATAGACATCTAGCTCCTTCTCCCAAATTCAGAAGTGGCACAAGTGGACACTCTTTGGATGGCCACCAAGCAGTTCCTGGCAGCTTCTGACCATCCCTGGGGCCTGCTGAACTGAAAGTCTGACTCAGTCAATCCACGGGAGGAAACCGACAGCCAAATTACCGGCACACGGCTTCAAATTTCACTGTCATATTTTGAGCCTAGTCAATCCTGTTGCTCCCGTTCGGACATGTTTCCATTTAAACAGCGCAGAAGAAGCACAGGCAGTCCTCGCCTTACAACCACAACTTCAGGGCAAAATTCAGGCTGCCAAGTGAGCAACGTGTCCAATTGAGTTTTGCCCCACTTTGTGACTCTTCTTGTCACGTTCGCTGAGCGAATCGCTGCAGAGGTTAAATTAGGATTTAAATTTAAAGGGGCTGAACGGTTAGAGTGGCTTCCCTATTGGCTTTGCTTGCCAGGAGGTCACAAAAGGGGATCACGTGATCCCCGCCCCCCCCAAAGACACTGCAACCGTCATAAATACGAACCGGTTGCCAAGCGTCCGGATTTTGATCGCTTGACCACGAGGGAATGCCGCAACGGTCGTAAATGGGGGAAACGGTCATAACTCACTTTTTTCAGGGCCACTGTAACCTGGAACGGTCACTAAATGAATTGTTGTAAGTTGAGGACCGCCTGTAGAAGGAACTCAACTGCTGTAAGTCGCCAGAAGGAGTTACTGGCGCCCTTCCCGTAACGCTCTCAAAACCAAGCTTTTAGTCTTGCGAAGAAAAAGCTAAATAGCTTTTCAGGAAAAAACCGAATTCTCCGCTTCTGTTAATTCCAAAGAACGGTACGAGTACAGGGAGCCCTCGACTTACGACGACAACCGAGTCCAACATTTCTGGGCCTGCTAAGTGAGACATTTGTTGAGTGAATCCCTGCAGTTGTTAAAAGGAGTAACATGGTTGTTCCCCAAATTTGACTTCCCCGTTGAATTTGCTTGCCAGGAGGTCGCAAAAGGGGGAATCGCGTGACCCCACCCAGGGCATGGCAACCGTCATAAATATGAATCGGTTGCCGAGTGTCTGAATTCCAGGGGGCTGCTGCAACAGCCGTGTGAAAAATGGTCGTCAGTCACTTTTTTCAGGGCCGTTGCAACTTCGAACAGTCACTGTTCGAAGCGCTGTAAATTGAGGACTGCTTGTGCTGAGTAAAAGTGCTGTTTTGATGGAGAATGGCTTGCTTTTAACCTGGTTTATCTGGCCATCTTCTAACAGAATAAAAAAAAAATCAAAAGAAAACAAACAAAATCCAGCCCCGGAGAATTACTAATATAATCTGCTCCAGATAAGGCTGGTGCCATCGTGGGGCTGATCGCTAGACACGGATATTTAAAAAGCCTGAAATCTATCGGTGGATTACTTCATCTAGCTTCCTTGTAGAGCAGAGATTCCAGGTGGAACTATTTACGGTAAAACATCCCACTGTCTTTTTTAAAGCATGAATGGCAGAATTTAATTTCACACACCCGTCCCAATGGCTCTCCCTAATAATGTATTGGTTATTTTGACAGCTCTCAAATTGCTTTGCACGTACAGTATAGCAGGAAAAGGCGAAGAAATTCTGAGTCTGAGTCATAGATCGTGCATATGTATTTATTATCGTCTGTTCCTGGATGAGGAGCACACCATGCTTTTTTTTGCTTTTTTACACAATAGCCTTTTGCAATTTCTGAGGCTCATTAGGTAACATCTGAAAAATCTGAAGTGTTGTAGAGTTCAACCCCTTCATTTTTCTTAACTTTTGAAACCACAAAAGGCAATCCTTGTAAAAATGGCGAAATCTATTTAAGCAGTTTTTCCGATTCTATCGGTCTCTGAGATTGAACAAATTAAATTCCTACACTGGAATATGGGCCATCATTATACAATTAATATCAGTAATCATCAGATTTCACAATCACCTTTAAAAGCATCCGTCGATGTTAAAAGCATCCAAAAGTGGGGAACAGATCACCAGTATTAGCAAAAGCATATGACATACAGTTCAGCATTTTTATTAAATTTCTGTGCAAGAGCAATTTCATACAACATGCAAACTATGAGGTTTAGTAGAAGATCTGTCGCAACTAGAACAAACAGTAATAATTAGGTTTCCTTCCACATTTCTTTTCAGTGGAATTTACCATAACAGCCAGCTCCAAGTTAATCCATATTAATCCACAGAATAAGGTTCATCAGCGTAATGATGGAACTTCGTATCATTTTTTTTTTCGGGAAGAAAAATGACTCTAGGAAACATTGCTTTATAAAAAGCAAAGACCTCGCCAGCATGAATAACAACATTTGGAAGTTTTCCCTAGAATAACTGAGTTTCTTGCATGCAATCAAGGCCGGCCTGGTGGAATTATATGAGGGTAATCTTCCCAATCGCTGTTCAAAAGAAATTTATCACACAAACACCCTCATAGCCCTCCAACACAATCCACAATGCACTGATGACGTTAATTAGTTGGGCCATGAAACGTCTGGAAGAAAACCGCCAAGCTCAGAGAGCCCCAAGGACCCCACCCACACGCCAACCATCCCACCACACATATCAGTGGCAGCGTGTTGATCATGATAAATAAACACTCTTGCCATTTCTCAAAAGCAAAAGCACAAAAGATTCCAGCTCAAACGGCATACACACACACACACACACATGGAGAAAGAGAGAGAAACATACGCACGCCATGCCCAAACACATCCTGTGCAAATATATGTGTGTGGGTGTGCATAGATTATGCATATGTGTCTGTGTTTATAAACTAGGGAGTCCTCTGATAAACAAACGCACAAGACGTAAATAAGTAGCCAATTCAGTAGGAAGAGCTTTAGTTAAGTTTGAAAGGATATACAGAATAACCAAAAGACACAACGCCTTCCTTGTTTCTTCCCAGTAACAACAGGCAAGGAGGGGGGGGGGGTTCCTGGCCAAGCTTCCCCTCTTTGTCACTAACCATAAATATAAAACAGCCTTGGAGTCAAAGTCGAATTAGGGATGAATGTATGGAAAAGTTTGCGCCTACGCTCAGTACATAAAATGGAAATATCTATTCCTTGGGCGGGGAGGATGGAAAGGTGGGGGGGGGGGAAGAAGGATCTGTGCTCCCTTTTCCTCCTGATCCTGGCCAGGGCTGGGCCTTCCTTGGATGGGGGACCACCAGGAGATCCCAAGGCTGGCAGAGGAGTTGGGGCATTTCTTTCCCCCTCCCCCCAACGTCCCAACCCATCTGCCAGCCTTGGGATCTCCTGGTGGTCCCCCATCTAAGGAAAGGGGGGGTGAGGATCAATAAGGGCTCACCCCCCACAAAGCAGCGCTGGAGCAAAGGGGGGAGAAGGGATGTCGGGGCCCTTCATGGGCCCCCCCAAGGGGAGGGGCCAAAATAGACCCCTCCCCTTATTGGCCTTCGCTGATTATCGATCCTTGGTCCTCCGCCTCCCCCCTCCCCAGCCTGGCTGAAGAGCCCCGCCCACTCGCCGGGCTCCTCCCCTCCCCCACCGCCGGCCCCGCCCCCTCCGGCGCCCCTCATCGGTGGGGCTCCGAGCCGGCTCACCCTCATCCAGGTCGGCCGGGCTGCCGCCGCCGCCGCCGCCGCCGCCTCCCCTCTCGCCCGCCGCGGGAGGAGCAGCAGCGCCGCCGCCACTGACGGGCCTCTGTCAGGCCGCCCCAGCGCCCCGCTCCCAACCCCAGTCACGTGACCGGGCCCGGCCGGAAGCGGTGCGTGCCCCTTCCGGCGCCGGGCGGGAGGGCAGCAGGGCGGCGCGCCAGCCCTTCCGGGCTGGGCCGCCCCGCCTCTTCCTTAGCAACCCCGCGTCGGCTCCGCCCCTTCCCTTCTTTTCTTTTCTTCGCGCCGACTTGGGCCGGCGAGGCGGCGCCGGAAGTGGGGCAGAGCTACTTCCGGTGGCGGCGAGCCGGTCGCTCGGCCAGGCCTCCCCGCTCGGGCCTCCCTTTCTCTCCCCCCCCCCGGGCGGACCCCCGACAAGCGGCGCCGGGGGGAGGCGGAGAGGAGGTGAGCCCAGCCCGGCAGGAGGCCCCGCCCTCTCCCCGTCCGCGCGGAGCTCCCGCCTCTTCCCTGGGTGCCGGTGGAACTCGCGGCCACTGGAGCCCGGCCCAGCGCGGAATCTCCCAGGTGTGAAGCTGCGCCCCCCCCTCCTTCAACCTACCCTGGGGAGAGGGCGGCGGGTATGCGGAGGGGGAGGAAGTAGGTCAATGCTGGCGTGACTGGGATTAGGGGGTGCAGGGAAGACGGGGAGCCCCAATCCTGCTAAAGGATGCAGCAGGGAAAGATTAGCCGGGGGTGCTCAGGGTAAGTAAGGCCTGGGTGAGGCTGGGGTGACTTGGGGAATGGCTTCTTTGGATGCTGGGCATCCTTTAGGCATGCATTGATGATGTACTCTAGTTGGGTCATGAAACGTCTGCAAGAAAACAGCCAAGCTCAGAGAGCACCAAGGACCCCACAATCCTCCTCCCATAAATCTCTCTTTCTCTTAGCACAGATGTTATATAGTTAGGGTAATGAAACATTTGCAAAAAAAGTCAAGCTCAGAGAGCATCAAGGACCCCACAATCTTCTTCCTCCTCCTCCTCCTCCTCCCCCCCCTTATAGCACTGATGATGTTCCCTAGTTGGGTCATGAAACGTCTGCAAGAAAACAGCCAAGCTCAGAGAGCTACAGAATAACCTTACAGTTGTCCTGCCCCCCCTTCTTTCTCCTCCTCTCCATAAAGCCCACTCCCTCTGCACTGATGATATTACCTAGCTGGGTCATGAAACATCTGCAAGAAAACCACCAGAGAGCACTGAGGACACCATACTCTTCCTCCTCCTCCTCTCTGCAAAGCCCACCCCCTCCTAGCACTGATGATGTTACATAGTTTGGGTAATGAAACATCTGCAAGAAAGCCACCAAGCTCAGAGCACCGAGGACCCCACATTCCTCCTCCTCCTCTTCCTCTTCCCCTCCTCCTCCTCTCTCTAAGGCCCACTCCCTTCTAGCACTGATGATGTTACCCAGCTTGGTAATGAAATGTCGCAAAATAAAATCACCAAGCTCTGAGAGCACCGGGGACCCCCACACACACCCTCCCTTGAGCCCTGAGCTACAAATATTCTCTTCTCTTCGTACCCTTTTAGGCTTGTCAACATGACCGAGAGAACGGAAAGTCTCCATTTCCAGTTCGACAACTACGGGGATTCGATGCTGCAGAAGATGAACAAGCTGAGGGAGGAGAACAAATTCTGCGACGTCACCGTCCGTATCGACGACCTGCAGGTCCACGGCCACAAGATCGTCTTCGCCGCCGGCTCACCCTTCTTGAGAGACCAGTTCCTGCTGAACGACTCCAGGGAAGTCAAGATCTCCATCCTGCAGAGCTCGGAGGTCGGGCGGCAGCTGCTCCTCTCCTGCTACAGCGGCGTGCTGGAGTTTCCCGAGATGGAGCTGGTGAACTACTTAACGGCTGCCAGCTTCCTGCAGATGAGCCACATCGTGGAGCGCTGCACGGAGGCGCTCTGGAAGTTCATCGGGCCCAAACAGAAGCTGGAAAGCAAAGGGGAAAGCCCTGCCAGGGCCAACTCTTCCCAGCCCAAGGAGGCTGTGGGAGCCAGTGGGGAGGGAGGGGAGGAGGAGGAGGAGGAGGAGGAAGACAATGACGACGATGAGGAAGACGACTCCTTGCCTGATTCGCCTTGCCTCCAGCCCTCGGAGGACAGCATGGACATGGACGATAGCGACATCCAGATCGTGAAAGTGGAGTCTATCGGGGAGGTGGCCGAAGTGGGGAGCAAAAAGGACCCCGGTCAGTTTATTTCCTCCGAACAGCAACAGCAAAGCTCCCTTCCTTCCTCGGAGCCCCAGCACTCCCTGATCAACTCCACCGTGGAGAATCGCGTCGGCGACCTGGAGCAGAGCCAGCTCCACAACTACGCCCTCTCCTACTCGCCGGCCGACAACCTCATCGTGGCTTCCAAGGAGCTCTTTGGGCCCAGCAACCGGGGGGTGGAGAAGGGCCTGCAGTGGCACCACCAGTGCCCCAAGTGCACCCGGGTCTTCCGGCACCTGGAGAACTACGCCAACCACCTGAAGATGCACAAGCTCTTCATGTGTCTCCTGTGCGGGAAGACCTTCACCCAGAAGGGCAACCTCCACCGGCACATGCGGGTCCACGCGGGGATCAAGCCCTTCCAGTGCAAGATCTGCGGGAAGACCTTCTCCCAGAAGTGCTCCCTGCAGGACCACCTCAACTTGCACAGCGGGGACAAGCCCCACAAGTGCAATTACTGCGACATGGTCTTCGCCCACAAGCCGGTCCTGAGGAAGCACCTCAAGCAACTCCACGGCAAGAACAGCTTCGACAACGCCAACGAGAGGAGCGCGCAGGACTCCGCCATGGACTTCGACGCCTTCGGCTGCAGCTCGGGGGCCGACTCCAAGGGCTGCCCCACGAACGAAGCCAGCCAGGTGCTGGAGGCGGGGAAGCTGGCCCAGGCCGTGCTCAGTTTACGGAGCGAAAGTGCCTGTGCGAACTAAGGGGTTGCCCCCAGCCTCTCTCGGCGAGCCAGAAGACTGCAAAACGGCTGTGGTGGGAGCTGGCCTAGGCCTACAATACCCCGGAAGGGCTCCGCTTTTTGGAGCTCGGGGGCCGAGCGTAACCTCGTAGCAGGCCTTCGCCTCTTCCTTTAGTTAGAAGGGTTGGGTGTGTCTGAGTGACTTTGTCTCTTTTACCAAGGTGACTGTTACAAGAGCTGGCACAGGGGAAAAACCCCGGGGTGGTAAGTTCTGCCAAATGAGCAGCCACTGGACCATGAGCCAGCCAAAGGCACGAAAACAGGAACAGCTACGCCCCGTTGTGGCAGAGTTTTTAAGCTAAAAGACAGGACTGTATTCTTAGAAAAAAAAAGAAAAAAACACTGGATAATTATAAAGTCTTTTTACTTGGGCGGCCTCTGGGCGGCCTTCTTCTTTTGTATTCTTTATTAAAACCATCAGGTACTTCCCTTTCACTCCTCCCACCCTAAGGGGCATCGACTCTTAACGAGGTTGTTTCCTTTCCAATATGATGGGGAAAGAGCAGCAGGAGCAATTGCTCTAGGCAGAGTTTCCCAACCTTGGCCATTTTAAAATGCGTGGACTTCAACTCCCAGAATTCCCCAGCCAGTACAGATGGCGGGGGAATTCTGGGAGTTGAAGTCCACGCATCTTCAAAGGGCCAAGGTTAGGAAACTCTGCTTTATGTAGAGCACACCGGGGAGAATTGGATCAGCAGACTGGTGGAATGGCCTTTGTGCTGTAGGACAGGGGTCTTCAAACTTGGCCCTTTGATGACTTGTGGACTTCAACTCCCAGAATTCCTGTAGGATGACCCTCTCCTTTTAGTCTCTTTGCTCAGGCTCATATCCTGTCCTACCCACCAGAATAGGTTTCATCACATCCTTTGTAGAAAAACGGCGTGCTTAGGCTAGAATGGTTGAAGTTTGCATGTCTCTCCACCCCCTCCCCACCCACCCCTCACCCATGTGGTTCTTTACAACGCAAATCGGGTTTTCTCTGTTAACGGCTTCCCTTCCAAGGCTGGCAGAGCCTCGGAGCTCAGCTCCCTCCCTTTTCTTAGCTATCACCCCGTGGATCAGTTTGTTGTCCCTGAAACCCCAAGTCCTATTTCCCCCCCCCCCCCTAGATTATATATGGTGCTTAAGATACTGTTGGCACTTGGTTCAGCTGTTAGAAGGAATGCCACAGAGGACAGGATCTGTTTCAAAGGATCTCATTGTGCCCTCAGCACTGGAAGCCTCTGAAAGGCAGAGGATCCTCAGTGCAGTGAGGGTAGACCCTTTGTGGCATTATTCCTGGAGAGAGGAATTTCCCAAGCAGTCCAAAAGCAGTTACTTAGTTGAAGGTGGATTATAGTGTATCGTGTGAGCAGTGTTTCGGTTCCTCTCCGCCAATATTCTGGCGTAGGAGACCCTGGGTTTTTTTTTCTATGCGATGGTCTTTTTCCTGGGAAATCCAGGAAGCAGGAAGTCCTAGGTCAGTGGTAGGCAACCTTGGCTCTTTTATGACTCGTGGACTTCCAACTCCCAGAATTCCTGAGCCAGCCAGTTGGGTCAGGAATTCTGGGACGTTGAAGTCCACGAGTCATAAAAGAGCCAAGGTTGCCTACCCCTGTCCTAGGTGCAGCCTGCAATATTTCCTTCCCCTAAGAAGCAGTTTCCTCTTGAAAAACATGATTGGGGGTGTCTGGCCTCTCCAAAAAGACCTCCCAAACGCTCGTGTATTTCAAGGGGGAACGCCCGCCTTTCTGCCAGAGAGATCTCCAGCCCAGGAGTTGTGTGGATGCAGCTTCCTCACTTCCTATCCCGTTGTCGTCGTCTTTGCCCATTGTCATCTTCTGTTTTATCCCTAAGTCAGAAGTGGGAGAGGAGTAGTAATGGTGTGTAGAACAGTGAGATGGGCTCAAAGGTTTAAGCGAGCGGGCGGTGGGATGCTGGCCCCCCCTCAAAGCTTGGTCCCCTCAAGGGGGGGGACCTTGTGACTCTAGCACAGGGGTAGGCAACCTTGGCTCTTTTATGACTCGTGGACTTCCACTCCTAGAATTCCTGAGCCAGTGTGGGGGAAATATGGCCCCCTCATGACTCGTGGACTTCAACTCCCAGAATTCCTGAGCCAGCACGGCTCAGCTTGGAAACCTCTCCCTTTCCCCTCAGCGTGGCTGGCTCAGGAATTCTGGGAGTTGAAGTCCACCAGTCATAAAAGAGCCAAGGTTGCCTACCCCTGCTCTAGCAAATGGTAGGTAGAATCACAAGCAGCATCCTCGTCCCCTCTGCCCGTTAGGGATTCCCCAGGCCAATGAGGAGAGAGGATCCCCCCGCCTCGCCCTCAACGCCTTGCAAAAATCTCTCGGGGAGAGGGCCCTCTTGTCCTGCGAATGCATTCTCGTGTCCAGAAGACCCCCTCGCCCTCCTGTATGTGTACTGAGTCATTGCGGTGGCTTCGGAATAAAGCAATTACACCACCTTCCAGTGTGTGGTTTTTTTTTTCTCTTTTTTTTCATGAGACAGGTGGTCCTCGATTTACGACCGCAATGGAGCCCCAAAAATTTTTGTTGCAAAGTGAAGGCACTTGTCCAGTGAATCTTTCCTCCCCCCCATTTTACGACTTTTCTTGCCGCCGTGGTTAAGTGACTCGCTGCCGTTGTTAAAGTTAGCACCACGGTTGTTAAGCGGGTCTGGCTTTCCGCTAGGCTTTGCTTGTCGAAAGGGGGTCACACCACCCCAGGGCACTGCGGCCGTCAGAAACACGAGTCAGTTACCAAAGCGTCCAAATTTGGAGCACGCGACCCTGGGGGTATTGCTGCAATGGTCGGTAAATGTGAAAAACAGTCATAAGTCACTTTTTTCAGTGCCGTTGTAACTTTGAATGGTCACTAAATGAACGGTTGTAAATCGAGGACTGCCTGTACAGGAAAACTCCAGGAAAGAGAGCCCCATTCTCCCACCCCCATCATCAGCATCCCTAATCTGATGCCTGAAACGAGCAGGGCGAGATTTATTCTATGCCTCCCTCATTGATTTGCAACCAGATCCTCCAAGAACCATCAGTTTGTGGGGAATTGACACGGCTCCCGGGATCACACCACCACCACCCCCAGGCAGCAAGGAGAGAAGCAACCTGGAATTAAGGAGAAACTTCCTAACAGTGAAGACAATTAACGAGTGGAACAGAAATTGCATTCAGATGTTGTGGGTGCTCCAACACTGGAGGCTTTTAAGAAAAGATTGGATAGCCAAGCAAGATTCCTCCAAGGTCCCTTCCAGATTCTGTTCTATTCCTTTTATTTTTCCATTCTCTATTTTATTCTATTCTTTTATTATTCCATTCTTCTATTCTATTCTGCTCTGTTCTATTCTTATTGTTCCATTCTCTATTCTATTCTTTTATTATTCTATTCCTTTTATTATTCCATTCTCTTATTTTATTCTATTCTTTTATTATTCCATTTTCTATTCTATTCTTTTATTATTCCATTCTCCTATTCTATTCTACTCCATTCTATTATTATTCCATTCTTCTATTCTATTCTGCTGTTCTATTTTATTATTCCATTCTCTATTCTATTCTTTTATTATTCTATTCTATTCCTTTTATTATTCCATTCTCTATTTTATTCTTCCATTTTCTATTCTTTTATTATTCCATTCTCTATTCTATTCTATTATTCCATTCTTCTATTCTATTCTGCTCTGTTGTTTTATTATTCCATTCTCTATTCCATTATTTTATTATTCTATTCTATTCCTTTTATTATTCCATTCTCTATTTTATTCTATTTTTTATTATTCCATTTTCTATTCTTTTATTATTCCATTCTCTATTCTATTCTTTTATTATTCCATTCCATTATTCCATGCATTCTATTCGGGGTTGGACTAGATGACCTCCAAGATCCCTTCCGCCAGCTCTAGTCTGATTCTGACTCTTCCCGGCGCGGCAAAAGAAGCAGCTTTACACAGCGGGCGCCTCTCCCTTCCCATTGGCTGGGCCCCGCCCCCCCCGTGGCGAAGGCGGCCAATCAGGAGCCGGCGCACGTGCTTGCTGGCGGGTTCTTCTTCCGGGTCGCGAGGGGGCGGAAAGAGGAGGAGGAGGAAGCTCGCGGGACTCCCGGAAGTCGATCCCCGCCAGCGAACCGCTCTGCAGCCGCGGCCGGGAACGAGCCTGGCTGGGTCCCCCTCGACGTCGGCAGCCGCCCGGTGAGCGGAGGGGGGAAGCGGGGAGGGCAGGGAGGTCGTCCTCCCCCTTATGGTTGGCTCCCCCCCCAGGGAGGGGGGCTCTCCAAACGACCCTGCCCAAGTCAGCTGATAAGGCAGTCTTTCTGAAGCTGGGCCGCTTTAAGAGGGCTGGACTTCAACTCCCAGAATTCCCCAGCCAGCTGTGCTGGCTGGGGAATTCTGGGAGTTGAAGTCCAGCCCTCTTAAAGCGGCCCAGCTTCAGAAAGATTAGTATATTAGTATATAAATATTGGTATAGATTGGTATAATATTCAGAAATATTATATTTTTCTTCCCAGAGAAAAGTAGGTCTTCAGGGAAAGGGGCGGCATGGTTTCCCTTTGAGGTCCCAATTTGCTCAGTTCCGGGGTGGGGGAGGGTTTGCATTATTAAAGGCCTTGCAACCCACCTCGCTATAAAAGGATCCAAAGTGAAGCAGGGTTGTGGGAGTGGGGGACCTTGGAGGTCTTCTAGTCCAACCCCCTGCACAAGCAGGAGACCCTATAACATGTCAGACAAATGGCTGTCTGGTCTCTGCTTGAAAAACTCCAGTGAGGAGCGGGGGAGGAAGGAAGGAAGGAAGGAAAGCTAACACAGCTGGAAGGGACCTTGGAGGTCATCTAGTCCCACCCCCTGCACAAGCAGGAGACCCTATAACATTTCAGACAAATGGCTGTGTCATCTCTGCTTGAAAAACTCCAGTAAGGAGGGGGGGAGGAAGGAAGGAAGGATAACACAGCTGGAAGGGACCTTGGAGGTCATCTAGTCCAACCCCCTGCCCAAGCAGGAGACCTTATACTATTTCAGACAAATGGCTGTCCAGTATCTTCTTGAAAGCCTCCAGTGATGGAGGAAGGAAGGATAACAGAGCTGGAAGGGACCTTGGGGGTCATCTAGTCCCACCCCCTGCACAAGCAGGAGACCCTTTGACCATTCCAGACAGGTGGCTGTCCAGTCTCTTCTTAAAAGCCTCCAGTCTCTCAGTCTTAGGTGAGGATCAGGCAGGGTGCCGCAAAGTGGTCACTATCAACCTTCCCCCCCCCAGTCAGTGGGGCTATATGTGGTTCATCGCACAGTCAGTCGGATCTTGAGACTGGATTTGGGGGTCTTTAACCCACCGAGTTCTTCCTGAGGACCTGGGAGAGACAAATGTTTGTTACTGTTCTTATTATCCAAAGTATTCTTGGTGTTTATTAAATTGTTTTCATATAATAAATCTTGGGGGGGGGGAGTCAATGAACAAACTGGAAGTTCATGAAGGGGTAGATGAGCCGAAGAGTTTGGGAAGCTGTAATCTCAGGGGACGGAGCTGCAGGGATGAATGCATTGGAGGTTTTTTTCCCTTTTCTTTGTGTTCTTTTTTCTTTTCATCCCTATTCTGGGGGGGCACCAAGAAGAGGTAGGTTTTCACAGGCTCTGTAGAGCAGAGGCCCCCAACCTTTTGGGCACCAGGGACCAGTTCCATGGAGAAAGGTTTTTCACAGAACGGAGAGTGCGTGGTTTTGTGTGCTGCCTGCATCCCGCAGATGGGGCTTTGCTTGTTTGTGCGGACCGGTTGCTGGCACGCCGTGGCCCGATACCGGTCCAGAGACCGGGGGTTGGGGACCCCTGCTGTAGAGAGTACAAAGCTGCTTCCAGAACAACACAAAGCATCTTCCACCAAGGGTCCTCTTGTGGAATGGCTTGTGTCAAGGTGTTGAACTTCCCTTTCATTCCATTCCCTCCCCCCCCAGCAGGATTGCCACAATGGCTGCCGATTCGGACGTGCTCCACTTCCGGTTTGAGCAGCAAGGCGATGCCGTGCTGCAAAAGATGAACCTGCTGAGGCAGCAGAACCTCTTCTGCGACGTGTCCATCTACATCGACGACACGGAGTTCCACGGACACAAAGTGATCTTCGCGGCCTGCTCCACCTTCATGCGGGACCAGTTCCTGCTCACGCAGTCCCAGCACGTTCGGATCACCATCTTGCAGAGCGCCGAAGTGGGCCGGAAGCTGCTGCTCTCCTGCTACACGGGGGCTCTGGAAGTGAAGAAGAAGGAGCTGTTGAAATACCTCACGGCGGCAAGCTACCTGCAGATGGTGCATATCGTGGAGAAGTGCACCGAGGCCCTTTCCAGGTATCTGGAAATCGACGCTTCCGTAGAAGGCAGCGGCCGGTGTGCTGACAAATGCCACTCTTCGGACATGGAGCTGGGCAGCAAAGACAACTGCCCTGATAGAGACTGTGAAATCATCGAGATTTCTGCAGACAGCCCGTTGAGCATAGACGAGCCCATAAAACAAGAGAAAGGGGACATTCAGCCAGTGTCCCTGCAGGATTTAATGTCGGACAGGAAGGAGGTCAAAAGTCCTGAGATCTCCACCGTGGAGATCGGCTACAAGGACGATGAGATCTGCATCTTCCAGATGGATTCCATTAACGTCCCCAGTGTGGACGATGCGCAGTTTCCCCAGCCTTGCACCTCTTCCAAAACCAGCTTGTATTTCCCCGAAACTCAGCACTCCTTGATCAACTCCACCGTGGAGAGCAGGATGAGCGAAGTAGCCCAGTTCCAGAGCTTTGGCAGCGAGAATCCAGAAGGAGCTGCGCACGCAGGGGGTGACTTCCCAAACTCCGAGGGCGTCGGCTACTCGTGGCGGCATCAGTGTCCCAAGTGCCCCAGAGGCTTCCTCCACCTGGAGAACTACCTCCGCCACTTAAAGATGCACAAGCTCTTCTTGTGCTTGCAGTGTGGGAAAACCTTTACTCAGAAGAAGAACCTCAACCGGCATATCCGCGGCCACATGGGCATCCGCCCCTTCCAGTGCATGGTGTGTCTGAAGACCTTCACCGCCAAGAGCACCCTCCAGGACCACCTCAACATCCACAGTGGGGACCGGCCTTATAAGTGTCACTGTTGTGACATGGATTTCAAGCACAAGTCCGCCCTCAAAAAGCACCTGACGTCCGTGCACGGAAGGGCCGGCGGAGTGGACAAATCTGGCTTTGACGCCATCACGGAAGTCAGAATAGACTACGACTAGATGTCGTTTGGGAAGGGGATTTTTTTTTTAAAAGGCCTGATTGGTTGCAGAGCACCAAGACCCCACCCCACTATCTCCACTCATAGTCTCCAGCCCTGCATGTAAATACCCCCCTATTTATCGATGTCCCTGCAGGCTTTTGAATAACTGCCCTTCTTCCCGTGATAGTAAGCAAGCAAGAAATGCTGAACAAAAAGTGGTGCTTGATTGTTGTTATTTACGTATTTATATGTTCTGTAACGTAAAAGAATCTTTGAAGCCTTTATTTTGCACCACACCCACATTTTTTTTTACCGTAAAGCTGTTGTTTACGTCTCGGTTTTGGGGGGCTTTAATCAGAGTGTCTCTTTTTTGGGGTGAAAACGTGCAACTTTGCCTTGTTCACCATGAACTGCACAGTGGCCAGGAATTCACTCAAGAGCCCGATGTACAATCAAGGCAGTGTCTTTATTTTATTTTTTTTCTCCTTTAACAAAGGCTGGACTCGTTATAAAAACACCGTTGTTGGAGTCACCTTGTTTGGCAAGCCACAAAAGAATCAAATGTAAATTCCATTTTCACTTCAGTCTAAAGTTAAGTCTTATTGCTAGTGGTCACTGCAGGTTACAAGGTACTATATTTTTCTTATTTCTGGAAGCGTTAAGAAACATACAATCAACTTTCATCCAGGCAATTCTGTGTTTTGAGGCAGTATAAATGTATACATTTTTGTGATAATGCAAATAAGCTATATATCTCCTGGGATGAATGGATCAACTGCAGTTGCAAGGGTGTTTAATTTTCAAGGGAAAAAAATATAAAATATAAAATGCAGATATTAATTGTGGGGGGTGGGGACATTAATTGCATGATTTTCCTGAGATGCCAGTGGCAATTGCATAAATGATCAAAGAACTCAATCCTGTCGGGGTGCTGACATTTTGAGAAGGCTGTTTATAACGTTTTTGTAAATGTGGCCTGCTTTTCGGTGTGCTAATAAGCTTTTGTGTAACAGGAGGTCCTTCCTGTTTGATAACGCTCCAAATTTTGCAAAAGACTCTCTGACTCCAGGTGTTCGTAAGCGAATTGTGTCTGTAACACGCGTGGAGCTGTCCAGTTTTGAGAAGAAACATTCACTGGCCAAACAGCCCCAATTATGAGGTTGACTGCTGTGATAATCTTGTTTGTGGCTGCTTTGTGGGGGCGTGTATGCCCAATTTGCCATTTGATTTGTAGTGGGAATAAAGATTGCTTCTGGTTGACCGGACCGCACTTTAAATGTACACTAATCAGCATACATTAAAACGAAATTGCGTTGCATTCAGCTCTCCAAAAAATCCCATCATGCATATCCCCACATGCACACATATATATTACACAGAGAAACATCACAGTCGTGTTCGAATATACATATGCTGGCGGGGAAAAAAAATACTGCAAATTTACCAGACGGGTGGCACAAGGAACAAAGCTGTTACAGAATCTGGTAGTCCTGTTATAAATACTTTGAAACCTCCTCCCAGAGGGGAGCAACAGAAACAGACCGTGCAATGGGGGGGGGAGGCTCTAACAATGTTCCGAGCTCTAAGCACATATAAGTGCTTATAAGCAGCGTCCTGAATAACGGGAAGCGAGCTTCCTATAATCTTCTCCACTGTCCTCACCACTCTCTGCCTGGACCTTCTGTCTGAGGCTCTGCTACCACCAAACCAGACAGTGACGCAGTTTGTTAAGATGCTCTCAATGGGGCCTCTGCAAAAAGTGGCCAGGACGGGAGGAGAAAGATGTGCTCTCCTCATCCGACTGTAATTTTGAAACAAGGTTATGAAGAGATTACCTGGAGGTCCCCGAACCACTTAAAGCTTTCCCGCTGACCTTACAAAGCAGCTCCTCAATCTTGCAGTATCTGTTCAGAGAGGCGTTGGGGGGGGCATCTGTGAGAGCAAAAGTCAGACGGCTGAAATAAGCAGGCATACTTTTTTTTAACCGCTGTACAAAATCACCGGCTAGCCCAGTATAGGCAACCTTGGCTCTTTTATGACTCGTGGACTTCAACTCCCAGAATTCCTGAACCAGCATGGCTCAGCTTGGAAACCTCTCCCTTTCCCCTCAGCACGGCTGGCTCAGGAATTCTGGGAGTTGAAGTCCACCAGTCATAAAAGAGCCAAGGTTGCCTACCCTGCTCTAAACTAATAAAGTCTACATTAATTAAGATTAATTATGCTTTCATATGTTCCTCTAGGTCAGGGGTAGGCAACCGTGGCTCTTTTATGACTCGTGGACTTCAACTCCCAGAATTCCTGAGCCAGCATGGAGGAACTATGGCCCCTTCATGACTCCTGGACTTCAACTCCCAGAATTCCTGAGCCAGCATGGCTCAGCTTGGAAACCTCTCCCTTTCCCCTCAGCGTGGCTGGCTCAGGAATTCTGGGAGTTGAAGTCCACCAGTCCTAAAAGAGCCAAGGTTACCTACCCCTGGGCTAGCCAAAAGGTTTCTGTGGACAAGAACAGAACAAGAGTCCCATGTTTGTCATCAAAGATACCGCCTGAAAACGAGGCGGTACAGGGAGTCCTCGATTTACAACAGATCGTTTAGTGACCGAAGTTACAACGGCACTGGGAAAAAAGTGACCCGTGACCTTTTTCACTCTTGCAACCATTGCAGCATCTCCAGGGTTGCACGGTCAAGATTCAGACGCCTGGCCACTGGTTCGTATTTATGACGGTCGCAGTCATGATCCCCTTTTGTGACCTCCAGATGAGCAAAGTCCATGGGGGAGCCGGGTTCGCTTAACGACCGTGTTGCTGACTTAACAGGTGCAGCGATTCGCTTAACAACCGAGGCAAGGAAGGTCGCAACAAGCGTCTCGCTTAGTAACAGAAATGTTGGGCTCCATTGTCATAAAGCGAGGACTGCCTGTATTATTACACTACCCTTAAAAACGCTGCGAAAAAAGAAAAAAAAAAGACCCCAGCAATAACCTGATGGTTTGAAATACCGACACTCCAATTCCAGTCGCCGGCTTAAAAGACGACACGCATCCACCTGTTTACAAATTCCCACGTCTTCGCCTTTCTGTAGCCTTTCAGACCAGGCTGGGAAGCCCCGCCCCGCCGTTTCCGATGGGCGGCGGCTATGCAAATCTGAGCCACGCCCTCTTCCAGGCCGGAGCGGGGCGGGCAGGAGCGAAGAAGGCGGCTATGCAAATCTGAGCCACGCCCTCTCCCACGCCAGGAGCGGGGCGGGGAGAGGAGCGAAGAAGGCGGCTATGCAAATCCGAGCCACGCCCTCTCCCAGGCCAGGAACGGGGCGGGGAGGAGCGAAGAAGGCGGCTATGCAAATTCGAGCCACGCCCTCTCCCAGGCCAGGAGCGGGGCGGGGAGGAGCGAAGAAGGCGGCTATGCAAATCTGAGCCACGCCCTCTCCCACGCCAGGAACGGGGCGGGGAGGAGCGAAGAAGGCGGCTATGCAAATCCGAGCCACGCCCTCTCCCAGGCCAGGAGCGGGGCGGGGAGAGGAGCGAAGAAGGCGGCTATGCAAATCCTAGCCACGCCCTCTCCCAGGCCAGGAACGGGGCGGGGTTGGGGGGGGAGGAGCGAAAGGGCGCGCGCGGCGAGCGGGACGCTCTGGCGCGCCTCCTCTCTTTCGGCGGGCGAGTCTCGCGAGAGGGGGCGTGGCTTGGGTGGGCGGGCCTCCCGGCTGTCACCGCGATGAGGAGGCGACGCCGCCGCCGCCGCCGTCGGGCCGCTCCGCGGTGCGCCCCTCGGGGGGTGTGAGGAGAGGCCGGGCCCNTGGCGCCTGCGGGGAGGGGGGTGGGGGGAGGGGGACGCCAGCTGCGGGGGCGCCCGGAAAGAGACCCCTCCCCCACCTCCGAGGGAGGGGCGGCATGGGGTGCCCCCTTTCAGGGAGGGGAGGGGCCCCCCAGAAGGGACAGCATGGGCCCCGGGCGGGGGGGGATGTGCGCAGCCGCAGCAGGGCGGGGAGGGGACACTCGCCTTGGGACCCCCACGACCACCCGGGAAAGGGTTGCATGATTTTGGGGTGGGGGGGAGCCTTTTATCTGCACCCTCCCCTCCCCCCGCTGGCTCCTGGACGGGGGTGGGGGGGCGTGGTGAGGAGGGGGGCCCAAAAAGGCAGCCTGTCTGGCCTCCCTGGTCCAAAGTTGGGTGTTAATGGAGAGACTAGAATGGAGCTGGAAGGGATCTTGGAGGTCTTCTAGTCCACCCCCCTGCTCAGGCAGGAGAACCACCGGTACCATTTCAGGTAAGTGACGGTCTGGTGCCTTATGGGATGCAGGCCACGCGGTCTTGGCTTGCAAGCACGTGGGGGAAGAGCCCTGGAGGTTGGGGGGGGGAAAGGGGGTGCATGCAATATTGCCCTCCTTCCCCCCCTCTCCCTTGGCAGGACATGTTCTTATTTTTTTGTTTTTGCTATAGGTGCTCCTGCAGGAAATAACATTGCAAAGATGGTAGTTTTCTACCATCTCTTTTTCTGCTGCTGCTTCGTCAGTTCTCTTCCCGTTTCTGCTTATTATTCGGAACTGGGGCATGGGAGTGGTGAGAGAGAGAGAGAAGCATGAGGACTAGTCCCCCCCCATGGTTAAAATGCAGGCAGCAGGTTTTATGATGGAGCAAAAGAGGTTTCTTGGGGCTCTAGCAATGCTCTGGGGTCTCTGGGTCAAGGACAGGCACCATTGACCCTCCTAAGCAGAGAATTGCAACAGGTTCGTGTTGCTTTTGAAAAGAAGGTTCCACTTATGCTTAATACTGCCCCAATATAGCCTGGAAGAGGTCACTAACTGCAGCTTGCAGACAAAAGTGTATCTCCAGGCCACCTAACCATAAATTGTCACATTACGTGATGTTTCCTAAACCATGCATTTTCCCACTAGGAATGGTGACCTGTTAAGACTAGCTGTGGTTGATTGAACAAACCACCGTTAAAAGAATCCATTACACGACCTGTGAGTCCAGCCAGTGATTAAAATATTCGGCAGGCACAGAACCATATGGAATTATTTTTTAATGTTAAGATTTGTGTTCTTGTGCGGACTTTGCTTGTATCTCTTTTTTTAATGGCTTAAATGTTCCTTAAAGTTCAATTAAGGTAAAACATTATGAATTCTGTATTGTTCCGGGCACTTATTATTGGCTTGAGATGGTGAAACTCTGCTGCTGGGCATGGCTAATTGTAGTGGATATCTCTGGCCGAGCAGATTCCCCAGTCAGTACAGACTCTTTGCAGCAGCTCTTAGCAAAAGCTGCCAGAAATCAATCTTCTGATGTGAAGCAGTATTTCCTTTGATGCCAGATGCTGGAGATAACTTTATAATGCTTCCTATAAAATCATACGCATATAAATGGGATTGATCAGAGTTACCGAAATAGAAGATGTAAACAGTGGGCAAAGTGTTCCAATATCTCAGGGGCTGCCCCAAAGAAGAGGGAGTGGAGCTATTCTCCAAAGCACCAGAATTCAGGACAAGAAGCAACGGATGGAAACTAATCAAGGAGAAACTAATCAAGGAGAAATTTCCTGACAGTTAGAACAATGAACCAGTGGAACCACCTGCCTCCAGAAGCGGTGAATGCTCCAACACTGGAAGTTTTTAAGAAGAGACTGGACAGCCATTTGTCCGAAATGGTATAGGGTTTCCTGCCTGAGCAGGGGGTTGGACTCGATGACCTCCAAAGTCCCTTCCAACTTTATTATTATTATTATTATTATTATTATTATTATTATTATTATTATTATTATTATTATTATTAAGGACCTGGGATAGGCAGATGTGGATGTCTGATGGTATTACAGATCTTGTCGCAGGGTGGAAGCAGTTCCTAGTAAGGCCGCCTTTTGCAATTGACTGATGGCGAATTTGTCAGTGCCGATGATGGTGTTCAAGTGGTGCTCCAGTTGTTTTGGGATTGCACCCAAGGTGCCTATTACTATTGGTACCACCCTTGCTTGCCTTTACCACAGTCTTTCTATTTCTATTTGTATGTCTTTGTATTTTGTGATCTTCTCCAGTTCTTTCTCGTCTATTCTGCTGTCTCCAGGCACTGCCACGTCCACTATCCAGACTTTTTTGTCTTATCAACAATTGTTAAGTCCGGGGTGTTATGCTGCAGGTGCTTGTCTGCAACATAACACCCCGGACTTAACAATTATTGTTGTTGTTGTTGTTGTTGATTGGTGAAACGACTCCAGAATACAGCCCTAATTGACCCCAAAGGAGCCAAACCTACTTTTGTTTCTCTCCCAGCTCCCGACCCCCTGGACGGTGCCAACATGGAGTGCTAGCAGCAGCTGAGAAGAGGGCGCTGCGTTCCACAATGCCTGTGCAGGCCGCCCAGTGGACGGAGTTCCTGTCCTGTCCCATCTGCTACAATGAGTTTGACGAGAACGTGCACAAGCCCATCAGCCTGGGCTGCTCCCACACCGTCTGCAAGGCCTGCCTGAGTAAGCTGCACCGCAAGGCCTGCCCTTTCGACCAGACCGCCATCCACACCGACATCGACGTGCTTCCCGTCAACTTTGCGCTGCTCCAGTTAGTGGGAGCCCAGGTAAAAGGAGAGGGTGTTTCCCCCCCTCCCCCTCCTGACGGCAGGTGACCCGGTGCAGAGGCCGAAAAAGTCCGCAGCTGTCAATCAGACGGGGAAGGGAGCTTCATTTGCTTATTTAGATCTTTATTCTGCTTTTATTATTTTATAAGTAACTCAAGGCGGTGAACACACCTCCTGCCTCGTGTTTTCCCACAATCACCACCCTATGAAAGAGAGAGACAGGGACGGGCGCAAAGCCCAGCTGACTTTCTTGACTAAGGCAGAACTAGAACTCGGCGTCTCCTGGTTTCCGGGCCAGCAAATCTGCCTGAACCGTGTTGAGAATCCAGATTTAATGACCTGCTAATTGCACGTTGCATCCAGAGGACAGATCCTCATTAAATATGTCCGTCCTTACCCAGCTCAGCTAACCACCCAAGAAAGCAGAACTCTCTTGAAGCAGGCATTGTCTCAAGAGGAACTTTTATTAGGGGTCAGTGACAGGAGGGAAGTCAAGGCGAGATCTGGGGCGAAATCCCGCTTAAACGGCATGATTAAACTCGCAATCTTCCTCCTCCCGCCAAAGTCATAATGTCCATTTGAAATCCAGCCGGTCCGCAGGTGGCGACGATGTTTGGGTAACTGGCACAAGTTGACGGCGCATCTCAAGGCCTTCTCCAGTTTGGTTTCTCCGTAACGGTCTCCCTGGTAAGGGAGACACATTCTTCTCTCAAGTGGATAGAGGCAGGAGAGGGAAAGTAGAAATCGAAAGATTACCCCAAACGAAAGCAAATCCCCCCCCCCAGCAGAATGGCAGGCCCCAAACTAAAACACAGTATGCAGGGAAAACCACAAAGATTTGGGGATCTGACAATGTAGGTGGTCCTCAACTTAACGACCACAATTTGAACCCCCAATTTATGTTGGCGAGTGAGACATTTGTTAAGCGAGTTTCGCCCCATTTTACGTCTTTTCTCGCCACATTAAGTGAATCACTTCTTCTTCTTGTGCCATATCCGTTATCGGACGTTGTCAATCCTGTTTTTATCAGCCGCCGCACGAAAAAGTGCTGTTCAGTTTTGTCCAAACCGGTCCCTTAGATTTCGAAGCCACGATGTTCCTCTTCTGCCTGGACCTCGTTTGCCTTCCATCTTTCCCTGGAGGATGAAACGGAGCAGGCCGTATTTTTCTGGGTGTCGCATCACCTGTCCCGAAATATTCTAATTTTCGTTTTTGAATCGTTTTGATGATTTCCCTTGGCTTTCCCAGGCGTGGATCACTGCGGTTCTTAAATTAGTAATCCGGCGGTTAACCTTCCCCCTTGACTTTGCTAGTCAGAAGGTCGTAAAGGTCGACCCAGCAACCATCATAAATATGAGTCAGTTGCCAAGCATCTGAATGTAAATCACGTGACCCTGGGGGTGCTGCGATGGTCGCAAGAGTGAAACATGGTCATAAGTCACTTTTTTCAATACCACTGTAACTTCAAATGGTCGCCAAACGAACTGTTGTAAATCGAGGGCTACCTGTAATCTAATTTAGAAATGGGACATCCTTGTTGTGATTCCTCGCCAGCCAGTGGGCCCGGCAGCTGAGTCTGGGGAACCAGAGGAGGAGGAGGAGGGGCCTGGAGAGCCATCAGAGTCAGAGGAAGGCTCTGGGGAGCTCCAAGACTTACAGGCTGACGAGGAGCCTGGCCCCTCCACTCGTGCTCAGGCTGAGACACAGCTGGGCTGGGAGGCTGTGTCAGACTGTGAGGACTCACAGTTAGAAGACACCATAGATGCTCGCAAGCGCCGACAGGCAATGAGAGTTGGACAGAGGAAGGCAATGGGGCGGCTCCAAGGGCAAAGGAGAAGGCATTAGGGAGCCACGCCTTGGGCTGCATAATAAAAAGGAAGGTGTGGGAGGTGCTGGTTGCTGAAGAAATCAAGTTTCATCAAATTGTGTGTTGTTTGCCTGGACATTTTGCAGGTCTGCAAATAATAATAAAAGGGGTTTGTTTTTCCTGCAATTCCAGCCTACTTGTTGGAAGAGGGGTTTCTCCTTGTGAGTTTAACAAGGATTCACATAGGCTGGGACAGAAACAATCCTTTCCCAAATCACAGTTTCCCTCCTGCCCCCCTTTTAAAGGAAGGCCTGCTCATAAGTGCTTCTCCCCGGGACCCTTCTAGGTGCCTGAACGCCAGGCTGTCAAGCTAAGTAACCTGGGAGAAAACAAACACTACGAACTGGCGAAGAAATGCGTGGAAGACCTCGCCCTTTATTTGAAGCCCCTGAGCGGAAGTAAGGGTAAGTCCCTGCGCCGGGTGATCCGCACCTCCTTCCGGGCCAGAACAAGGTCTCCTGTCCAGCCGATGCTTGAATCAGGACCTGAACGTACGAGCCACCTGGTCATAAAACTCCCTGTGTATTTTGAGGATAATTTCTGAAGGAGAAGCACATGAATCCTCGTCCCTCACACTGATACTATAAGAAACTATAACAGTGATGGCGAACCTTTTAGAGACCGAGTGCCCAAACTTCAACCCAAAACCCACTTATGTATTGTCGGGTGGGCATGGCCCACCGGGTGGGCGTGGCTACAGTGGGTGTGGCAGATGGGTGAGCGTGGCCTGGGTGGGCGTGGCCAGCTCGATGTTGTTCCTGGGGAGGGACGCCTGTGGGGGCCAGGCAGGGTTGGGGGAGATCCAGGGGTCTTTGGCAGGTGGGGCGGTGGGCAGGAGGCTGGTTCTGCAGGGTGAGGCGAGGCAGGGCGGGGGTGCCATGTCGCAGGGCAAGGGGAGGCAGGGGCCGGGGCGGCTGCTGCCTGACACCATTGGCCCCCGCACACAGAGGCCAGCAAGCGCATGGGTGCTGGGATGCATCCGGCCACGTGGGACCTCGGTAAGTTAGCGGGCGGCTGGTTGAAGAGGACGATTGCCATCTCTGGGGCATGGCGCGCGTGCCCACAGAGAGGGCTCCGAGTGCCGCTTCTGGCACGCGTGCCATAGGTTCGCCACCACTGTACTATAAGGGCCAGCCTCTGCTGTCCCGTCAGGAAAGCACAACTCGGGAAACGAGCATTGTTTCAAGGAGGAAAGTGATTGCAGAGTAAAAAGGCGGAATCTGAAGTTCCTGCTCCAAAGCATTAAGCTGAAAGTCCCGTTTCCACCGCCCCGCCCCAATGCCTCTGTCCCTCAGGAGTCAGTCCGCTGGCGGGAAGGCGTTGTGAGAACTTTGAGCCGAAACGGTGATAACCAGCCATTCTCTGGCGCCTCGTCCTTGCTAGCCGGCAGATGTTAAAGCGGACGGCCCCGGGGGCTCTTTCCCCTCTCCCTAATTCCCATGTAGAGGCATCCAAGCGAAAGTAAAAGCAATGTAGGAAATGCAAAAACACCCTCAATCCTCAACACTGCATACTCCCCCTCCCCTTTTTGATGGCAGAGCTCCAAAGGGACCTGACATGCTGCCCCCCCTAAAAGAAGGAAAGGTCCACCTGGAGGAGAGAAAAACAAAGAAGGGATAAGAAATAGTAGTTAAGCGATCATTTAGGTTTATCGGGGTAGCGGTCATGGAAGCGTTCAATTAGCCCCGGGGGGCTTTAACATAATTCTTTTGCACCCACTCAAGTTGAATCCCAGGGAGATTTTTCCATGTTACTAGGTATTGCGCGACTCCCCGTTGTGTGCGTGAGTCTCTAGGATGTCTTTCCTCTTGAAATGCTGTCACTGCTGAAATACAGAGACGTAACCCTTCTGTTGATCTCCAAAGGTGTGGCTAGCTTAAATCAGAGCACGCTGAGCCGGCCGATGCAACGGAAGCTGGTGACCCTGGTGAACTGCCAGCTGGTGGAAGAAGAAGGCCGCATCCGGGCGATGCGGGCAGCTCGCTCCCTCGGGGAGAGGACCGTCACCGAGCTGATCTTGCAACACCAGAACCCTCAGCAGCTCTCGGCCAATCTCTGGGCCGCTGTCCGGGCCAGGGGGTGCCAGTTCCTCGGGCCGGGTGAGTAGTGGGAGGAGGAGGAGGAGGAGGAGGAGGAGGAGGAGGAGGAGAAAGAGCGTAGCCCTCTTCGCCATTATTCAGCTTTAAAATGAAGAAAACGTTCCCCAGTGTAACAGCTGTGAAAAAAGAGGGTTGGGGGCGAGGGGTATTCTGAAGTCCTCCTGACAAGGAAGAGAAATGAGGTCACCCACGTTTCATCCGGTTCGGCTTTCCCCACCTTGGGTCTCTCAGCTATGCAGGAGGAAGCCTTGAAACTGGTCCTGCTGGCCTTGGAAGACGGCTCGGCCCTGTCCCGCAAAGTCCTGGTGCTGTTTGTGGTCCAGCGCCTGGAGCTCAGGTTCCCTCAGGCGTCGAAAACCAGCATCGGCCACGTGGTGCAGCTGCTCTACCGGGCGTCCTGCTTCAAGGTGTGACATTTGGGTACCGGTAAGGTCCCGCCGCAGCTAATATTCCCAGGAAAGCAGAAACTCTTGAAACTGGCATTGTTTCGAAAGGAACCTTTATTGAGAGAGCGTGAAAGCAGACAGGCAAGGCAAGATCTGAACCTTTCCCGCGCAAAACGTTAACATTAAACCCCTCTCTTCAAAACCCCTCCCAAGAGCCCAACTGCCCAGTCCAATCCACAGGTGCGAAGTTGTTACGGGAACTGGAAGGTGAAAGAGTGGTAAAGCGCCGTTCCCAGGCATCGCATACTCTTCTCAGCGGAGCAGAGATAAGGCAGATGGCCCCAGGCACATTCCTCCCCCCCTTTCACAGCCCAAAGAGATACATCAAAGGGTAGCAGAACAAAGCAAAAAGGAACACATCCCAGAGCTCACAAATTCCCTGCTCCCAACAGAGTAAAGCCCCCCTCCCAATAGAATGGCAGCATCCCAATAGTGATCTGAGGGGCCTGACGGTACCTGATTTACGAGGGCAATTAGGAAATAAACCACCATTTGGTTATCCATGACAGACACCCTGCAGGTACAAAACTTTTACTATACACATTAGAAAACTACAACATGACGTGACTTCTCGACCTAACCGCCATTCAAATTGAGGCACTTGTCGTAACGTCTTACAAGTGTCATGGTTCCGAAAGAGGAAGCTCTTCAAAGAACTTTGAGGCATTGTTTTACCTTAAAGAATCTTTAATTTGCGTACATAGAGAAGCCAAAATCTGAATTCTCCTCCCCCAAGGCTAATGGTTACATTGTGATGGTTAGCAGTCCCGAAGGCGAATAAACAAAAGGTTACTTTGTAGTGAATAGAGGAAGTGAAAGTAATAAACTCCGCATGCATACCCCCCTCCCCCTTAGAAGTATGGCAGGATCCAGGGAAGAGTAAGAATTGGTTTTAGATCAGAGGAAATAAGATAGAAAGGCAATATAACTTGATTCTGACACGCACAGAGTGACTCCAGGCATCTTAGAAACGGTAGCTTGAGTGGGTTGTGTTTCTTGGCGCAGGTCACCAAGCGGGACGAGGACTCTTCCCTGATGCAGCTGAAGGAGGAGTTCCGCAGCTACGAGGCCTTGCGGAGGGAGCACGACGCTCAGATCGTCCACATCGCCCTGGAAGCCGGTCTCCGGATCTCTCCCGAGCAGTGGTCCTCCCTCCTGTACGGGGACCTGGCCCACAAATCCCACATGCAGTCCATCATCGACAAGGTCAGCTCCAAAGAAGATGTCATGTGTCCGATTAACGAAACACTTAAAATACACTTAATAGGGTCTTGTTCCATCGGCTTGTTCAAACCTCACAGGTTTGGAAAGCTGTTTTGCCCGTATGCCCATCTTCATGGCAAACGGCAGATTAATAATGCAACGGGTGCATCCAGAATCAATCGGCACGTTTAAGTCTATTTGTGCCCCAGACTTAGGGATTATAAGTTTGGCGGCCAGTGAAAAAGGCGGGATTTGTCGACTCACCATTGGGTCGTCCTCTCCTTCATCGTCGCTGTCAAAGGAGGGTAGAGCAGAGGCGGGTCCACCTGGAGGCTCGGCGTTCTCCTGCATAAATACAGCTGGGGCCCCCTGTAGTCCAAATGGCATGACTTTGAACTGATAGCTCCCCTAGGACAGTTGAAGGCAGTTTTCCACTCGTCGCCCTCTTTTATTCTCACCCGGTAATATGCCTCTCTCAGGTCTAATTTAGTGAAAACACTCCCCTTAGCCAGATGGGTTAATAAATCCTTCAGGAGGGGGAGGGGGTATTTATTTTCCACACTCACAGCGTTGAGACCCTTATAGTCTACGCCACTGGTTCTCAACCTTTTTAATGCCGCGACCCCCAACCGGTCGTAAGTCGAGGACTACCCAACCGGTCGTAAGTCGAGGACTTTCCCTGCCCGGGAGCGCCACGCATGCGTGGTTCCGCCCCCTGCGCCAGCCAAGGCGTAGCTGGCAAGCGGCAGAGACGGAGCAGGCCGACCACCAGCTGGCCCAGCCCAAGGGAGGTAAGGCACCCGCCGGAAAAGGGGGAAAAAATGGCGGACAGCCTTGCTTGGCGACCCCCGTGAAATGCTCGATCGACCCCAAATGGGGTCCCGACCCATAGGTTGAGAACCGCTGGTCTACGCAGAGACGAAGAGACCCATCTTTTTTCTCTTTGAACAACACAGGGGCTCCCACGGTAGATTTGGCCCGTTCGATAAACCCCCTCGCTAGGTTTTTGTTCACGTATCGCTGCATCTCCTCCATTTCGAGGGGGGACATGGCATACATTCTCGGTCGTGGGAGTTTGGCTCCTGGCACCAGTTCGATGGAGCAGTCATTGGGTCTGTGAGGGGGTAGGGCATCACATTCCTTTTCACTAAACGCCTCCGCCAGGTCCCAGTATTCGTTGGGGATGACTGGGTGCTTTGCGCCCCAGCAGATTGCGCTTCGAGGCATCCAGTGATGAAGCTGCATAGGGCAGATTCTGAGCTGGGAGCTTCAGCTCCTGAACGCTGATCTTCCATTTATGCTGTCTGAGGATGCGGCTCTTTTTTGGGGGAAAAACCCGCGGTTTTCCTCTGCCCTCCGCGTTGCATTTCACTCCGAGGAACAAAACGTTGTTTTTAAATAAGTTTTATTGGTTTTTAAAACATAAATCACATAATAGTTGGTTAACAGTGTGTTTGCTTGGTTTACATTTGTAAAGAAAAATCGTTAACAATTGATTCCTATAATTCATAGTCCACGTGTTCAAACAAACGTTTCTTTTTCTCTTAAATATTCTCTCTGGTGGATCCCGTCATCTGTATATTCTTAATGTTCACTTTAATATTTTAATATTTTTGATCGGTATCTTTCTTGATCAATGTGTTTTGCTGAATCAGAGAGTTTTTCCCTCTATTTTTCCCCAACCAATTGTACAATTTATTCCAGATTTCGTAATAATCTGTTTCACTCTTATCCTTAAGTTCTAACGTCAACCTATCCATTTCAGCACGGGATAAAATCTTATTTATTACCTCTTCTTCTGCGGGTGTCTCATTATCTTTCCACCTCTGTGCAAAGACTAATCTTGCTGCTGTTAGCATGTGTAGTAATAGGTATAAACCCATCTATTTCGTGCGGCCGGCCTGGCGTAGTTTTAATTAGGTTTTAGTATAGGTTTTTATATGGGGTATTTTAGAGCAGGCCTTTATTTATTTAATTTGATTTTAGAATAGATATTTATTGTGATTTTTATTATCGCCTGTTCACCGCCCTAAGTCCCGTAAGGGAGATAGGGAGGTATACAAATCTAAATAAACATAAACATAAACATAGGGATCCTTTATTGTATTTATCCTTAATGATACCCAGCAGAAAGAGTTCTGGCTTTAACTCGATGTTCTGCATTAGTATCTGGATCCACGGCTGACACTGGAAGACCATTTGTCGGCCGTGACCAGGGGGGCGTTTTATCAGGTTCGCCTGATTTACCAGTTGCGCCCTTTTCTGGACCGGGACGCTTTGCGCACAGTCACTCAGGCCCTCGTCACCTCCCGCCTGGACTATTGTAATGCTCTATACATGGGGCTCCCTATGAGGAGCATCCGGAGGCNCCTTCTCTGTGGGTGCCCCCACCCTCTGGAACGAACTACCCCCCGAGATCCGGACGATCCCGGATCTCCTAACCTTCCGCCGCGCCCTCAAGACATGGCTTTTTCAGCAAGCGGGACTGACCTAGGGTGAATTTTAAATAGGGAAAATTTTTAAAGATTTTAATAATGACACAGCTATAAATATTTGGTTTTTAATTGGTTTTATAGGGGAAATGTTTTTGTGTTGTTTTAACATGCTGTGAGCCGCCCTGAGTCCCGTGGGGAGAAGGGCGGCATATAAGTTAGTGAAATAATAAATAATAATAATAAAATCTCTTCTAACCACTGTTTTATCAAATGCCAAAAGTTTTGTACTTTTGAACATTCCCACCACATACAGTAGTAGAAACCTGGATGAGAATGCAGCTGCTTTTTCTTCCTATCATACAAGGGCCAAGCGCGGCGCCCAGAAAATATTTTTATGTGCCTCCCCCCACTCCAAATTCTGTAGGTTAAGCCCCGACATTGGTGCCATTTTAAGAAATAAAGTTCCTTCCTTCCAAATACCAGGAACCTCCACCCTCCCAAAATTCTGTCCTTGCCTTGATGCATGACTTTGCACTACCGTCCCACCCACCTCGGGGGCAAACTTTTGAAAATGTTAAATCTGGCCTACAGATGCAAAGCGTGTGTGTGTTTCCTTTCACGTAGCTCCAGTCTCCGGAGTCCTTTGCCAAAAGCGTGCAGGAATTAACCATTGTTCTGCAGCGAACGGGGGACCCCGCCAACCTGAATCGGCTTCGTCTCCATTTGGAATTCTTGGCGAACATAGATCCTAACCCAGGTATGTCCGCGGAGAGAAGGCGGAGCCCCCAAACGCCTGCCGTGTTCCGTCTCCTTCCTTTCCTCCCCCTCCCCAAAAGAAACATGGTTTGATCCTTTTCACACGATGCTTTTTCCAGTCTCGGGTGGCTGCCAAAGATGACGGAAATGATCTTAAGAGGTGAAATCATGGCAACCGGGCCAAAGTTTATTAAAACGGAGACGTTTCGTTACTCACCCAAGTAATTTCTTCAGTCGAAATGAAAATTTTGGGTAGGCAGAGAGTCAGAAAGTCGTTGGAAAGAACCAACTCTTGCCCTACAGACTGCAAGGGGTTTCCCCCAAAAAATGAAAAGCAACACAGGGCTAGGCTGCATTAACAGAGGGATAGAATCAAGATCAGCTGAAGGGTTAATACCACTTTACAAGGCCTTGGTAAGGCCACACTTGGAATACTGCATCCAGTTTTGGTCACCAGGATGTAAAAAAGATGTTGAGCCTCTAGAAAGAGTGCAGAGAAGAGCAACAAAGATGATCAGGTGACTGGAGGCTAAAGCATATGAGGAAAGTCTGCTGGAATTGGGTCTGTCTAGTTTAACGAAGAGAAGGACGAGGGGGGACATGATAGCAGTCTTCCAATATCTCAGGGGCTGCCCCAAAGAAGAGGGAGTCAAGCTATTCTCCAAAGCGCCTGAAGGCAGGACAAGAAGCAACGGATGGAAACTAACCAAGGAGAGAAGCAACCTAGAACTAAGGAGAAACTTCCTGACAGTCAGAACAATTAACCAGTGGAACAACCTGCCTCCAGAAGCGGTGAATGCTCCAACACTCGAAGTTTTTAAGAAGAGACTGGACAGCCATGTCTGAAATGGTATAGGGTTTCCTGCCTGAGCAAGCGGTTGGACTAGATGACCTCCAAGGTCCCTTCCAACATCATCATCATCATCATCATCATCATCATTATTATTATTATTATTCAATCATCCAGGCCAAAAGTATCTTAAAAGGTTAAATCATGGCAACTGGACGACTGAGTCTTAATTTACACGTTGCTTTTCATTTGGGGGGGGGGAACCCCTGTAGTCTATTATGGCAAGAGGTGGTTCTTTCCAACAATTCTCTGCCTATCCAAATTTTCATTTTGACTGAAGTTACGTGGACGAGTAACGAAACGTCTCAGTTTTAATAAACTTTGGTCCAGTTGCCATGATTTCACCTTTCGAGATACCTTTTGGCCTGGATGATTGAGTCTCCATTTTACATGATGGAAATGAGTTTTGTTTCCATCGTCTTTTGGAGGAAGTGGATTGATCGAGGGGACAAAACATTTCCTCTTGGGGTTTTGGAAGAAAAGTACGACGGGGGGAAAGAGTGCCCGTCGGTGGGCACACGGCCATTTTCAAAGGAAGGTTAATCCTGCCATGTGGTTCAAAAAGCAGCTGTGCTCACTCTGGAACGGGCCTGCAAAATGGAAATCCACGCGATTGCAGTGTGTTCCTGATAGCTACTGCAAGATTTTGGCTTAATGTCATGGTTCCGACAGATGAAACTCTTCAAAGAACTTTGAGGCATTGTTTACCCTAAAGAATCTTTATTTTGAGTAGCATAACATCGGCACGTACATAGGCAAAGCCAAGATCTGAATTCCCCTCCCCTGAGCACACAGTATCAAAGCACAATTCCCTCCTCTAATGAACAGTCATAAATCACATTCTCCAATTAGTTTGAAATGCAGGCTTTCCCTCCAGTTCTTCAGCCCGCCATTTCTTATCATCTCTTAGTTCAAAAAACCTTGATTCTCACCCTAGTTACAATATGCCTAACTAAACTCCCATGCACATTCCTCCTCCTCTCCCCCCAGTATCATCTAATTCTAACTCTAATTCTAAGAGTAAAACATAAGTAGGAAAATGGCTGCATCTCCATATGTTGTCAAAGCAAGAATATCCGATGTTAGCAGGGTTGACACAGTATTTTAATTCCTCCATTTCTGCCCCCTCCCAGATGCGGCGTCTCCAACTTGGGAGCAGCTGGAGAACGCCCTGGTGGCCGTTAAGACAGTTGTCCATGGCCTTGTCGACTTCATCCAGAACTACAGCAGGAAAGGCCCTGAAATTCCACAGGTCGGTGGTCCAGATTTGATTTGTCGTAACGTAGCACTTCGATTCTCACACAGACCTATAAAACAGCAAGTAAGACTAGATCAGTGATGGCGAACCTATGGCACGGGTGCCAGAGACGGCACTCAGAGCCCTCTCTGTGGGCATGCATGCCGTCGTCCCAGTCCTAGGCCTTCAGCTGGGTTTTATAAAACCTTTTCGCTTTAGGCCTCCGCCGCCGTGTGCCAAAAAAAAAAAAGGTTCAATCAGTCAATTTCAACTTCTCGTGGGGAAAAAAAAAAGATCTTGCAAAGTTGGAATTGATTGATTGAACTTTTTAGTCCCGTGGTGGCGAACCTATGGCACGCGTGCCAAAGGTGGCACGCGGAGCTGTCTCTGGTGGCACACGAGCCATTGCTGGGCCGAGCTGCTCCCTCCTCCTCTCCGTGCATGCGCAGTCTGGGAATAGGTGAGAGGCTATAAAAGGAACAACTTTCTGCGGAAGCAGCATTTGCTGCAGACAGCTTGAGACCGAGCACGAGTCGGCGCGGACAGGGAGCGAGCACGAGCCGACAGCTCGGTGGCCACGCCCACCCGGCACCCGATGATGCATAAGTGGGTTTTGGGTTGCAGTTTGGGCACTCGGCCTCTAAAAGGTTCGCCACCACTGTTTTAGTCCCACCCAGTGTGCCGTTGCCACCGCAGCCACGCCCACCCAATGGGCCACGCCCACCCAATGGGCCACACCCACCTGGCACTCGACGATGCATAAGTGGGTTTTGACTTGCAGTTTGGGCACTCGCCCTCTAAAAGATTCGCCATCACTGGACTAGATAGTCACACACACACACACACACACACACACACACACACAAATTAAAATCACAATTGACTTTCTCTGATTTGATTTTTTTTAAATGCCTGGTTGAACTTTCATCTTTGGTTAGTTGACAGTTTGTGGGTGCGGAAATCCATCACATCAGCTTGGAATGAAATAAGCATGGATTTCCTTCCTTGGCCCGATGTTTTTAAGTCATTCTTTTCCTAACCTAGAGGTCAATTTCCCAGAATTCTCTGCAATGGCCACCGTGGATGGGGAATTCTGGGAGTTGACGTTTACACACAGCTGGAGGCTGGAGAAGCCTGCTTTAAACTCTCTAAAGCCATTGGCTGCTTGTCCCTTGAGCGTGTATTTCTCTTTGTTCGGTTTAGTGCAGTGATGGCGAACCTTTTAGAGACCGAGTGCCCAAACTTCAAAACAAAACCCACTTATGTATTGCCGAGTGCCTGGTGGGCGTGGCCACCAGGTGGGTGTGGCCTGCCAGGTGGGCATGGCTACAGTGTTCATGGCAGATGGGTGGGCGTGGCCAGGGTGGGCATGGTCAGCTCGATGTTGTTCCTGGGGAAGGACGCCTGCGGGGGCTGGGCAGGGTTGGGGGAGATCCAGGGGTCTCTGGCGGGTGTGGTGGTGGGCAGGAGGCTGGTTCTGCAGGGTGAGGCAGGGCAGGGGTGCCATGTCGCAGGCAAGGGGAGGCAGGGGCTGGGGCGGCTGCTGCCTGACACCATCGGCCCCCGCACACAGAGGCCAGCAAGCGCATGGGTGCTGCGATGCATCTGGCCACGTGGGACCTCGGTAAGTTAGCGGGCGACTGGTTGAAGAGGGACGGTTGCCATCTCTGGGGCATGGCGTGCGTGCCCACAGAGAGGGCTCCGAGTGCCGCCTCTGGCGCGCGTGCCATAGGTTCGCCACCACTGGTTTAGTGGCTGCACAACTCCAAATGACTCTGGGCCATTTACACATTAGAAGTTGTGAACAGTAAAAAGCAAAGAGAAAAATTATGAAGTTGTGAACAATAAAAAGCAAAGAGAAAGATTATGAAGTTGCTGAAAGAGATCGCATGGCCCTTAACAGTGTATGCCCGTTTCCCATGTTGCTCCAGAAATAGAGTAGCGCAACTCTTGTTAAGGCCAACAGTCCCCCGTGGTGGCATGCTGCATGATTCGCCCTCGACAGAGATAGCCGGGCACAAGAAGTTGGCAGCGCCCATTTACTTCTCTTCTATCTTCTCTTGAAAGCCTCAGCCAAACAGCAAGTATAAAACCAGCCTATGCCGCGACCTTAGACAGCAGGGCGGGTGTCCGCGCGGGACCAACTGCACCTTTGCCCACTCGCAGGAGGAGCTCGAGAAGTAAGTCTTGTGGGGGGACACACACGTTCCGCCTGGGGCCTACGGTCAGTCTGGCAGCCTTGATCCGGGGCTCTGCCATCCGCACAAATGCACACCCAATTTAGCAACCGGGTTCCAAAACAACAACAACAATAATAATAAAGTTGGAAGGGACCTTGGAGGTTATCTAGTCCAATCCCCTGCTCAGGCAGGAAACCCTATACCATTTCGGACAAATGGCTGTGCAGTCTCTTCTTAAAAACTTCCAGCATGGCTCAGCTTGGAAACCTCTCCCTTTCCCCTCAGCACGGCTGGCTCAGGAATTCTGGGAGTTGAAGTCCACGAGTCATAAAAGAGCCAAGGTTGCCTACCTCTGGCCTAGGCCGCTTCATGACTCATGGACTTCAACTCCCAGAATTCCTGAGCCAGCATGGCTCAGCATGGAAACTTCTCCCTTTCCCCTCAGCACGGCTGGCTCAGGAATTCTGGGAGTTGAAGTCCACGAGTCATAAAAGAGCCAAGGTTGCCTACCCCTGGACTAAGGGAATCTTCCTCAAATCATATCACCCCATCTACTTTTTTTTTTCTTTCAAATTTTTATTAATTTTCAAATAAACAAATTCTAAATACAAATATGGTGTACATTAAAAAAAAACATATTAAACATAACCATATTTTCAGAGGTGCTCGGCAGCCCCCCCCCCTGCATCCGCCCCCTCTTTCACCCTTCCTACCTACTTCCCTCCTCCTCTCCTCCCCTCCTACCTGCACCTCCTCTCTTTCAACTACCCTACACATCCCACCTCCTTCCTTTCCTCATCCTTCGGATGCAGTTTGGGGGTGCTAATTGAGCACCTCCTCTTTAAAAAAATAAAAATATAATACATTATTCTATAACATATTATTACACCAAATTTTGCATATCTCTACCCCCCTCATCCCCCCCTTCCCCCCACCCCATCTACTTTGAAGTAGGAGTCCAGATATAGTAAAATCTGATGACAGCGGCAGGTTTGGGGAGATTAAGGTGTCCCTGGGCTGTTCAGGTCACCTGGGGGGGGAACTTTCTGGTTTTTGAAGGTAGGAAGTATCACTCATCCGATTCAACCTTCAGAAGTTCTGTTGCTGACAGGTTTGCCTGTCTCAGGGGTCTCCAGACTTGGCAACTTTAAGACTTGTGGACTTCAACTCCCAGGATTCCTGGCTGAGGAATTGTGGGAGTTGAAGTCCAGAAAAAGCTGCCGAGTTTGAAGATCCCTAATGTGGCTTAAAGGGCAATCTTACCTCTGGATTCTTGGCTCTATCTGAAGGCAGCTTTTATTGGGGGGCGGGGTATTCAACTCAGCTCTGCTCTCCTTTCTGGGCCCTGCAGGTATCGGCTGAGAAACAAGAAAATCGGTGCCACGGTAAGACCCTTCCCGCTGCTTGGGAAAGCCAGCATCCCAAGCGTCGTTCCCATCATCGGAAACGCAGACCCGGCGGGAAAGGCGGCGTCCAGCACCAATGAGAGTCCCAGCCCGGAGAGCGTTGCCCCCCAGCTGATCCCCCGTTGTACCAACACCCCTTTGTTACGGACTCTGGAGCACATGAAGAAAGGGGGGAAGGCTGTGGCAAACGGCCAGAACCCCACTTTGTCTCCCACCGAGCCTCTGCCCGAACAGTACGTTCTGGGGCTAGAATTGGAGCCTCCTCCTCCCCCCCCCAGGAACAGGGAAGGTCGCCTCCTTCTCTGGGTTGGCCCCTTCTGGTCCCTTCTGCTTGGATCAGTTCATCCTGTCCCTTCTTAATGCGCTTGGCATCAGCCCTAATTCAACCTTTTCTGATTCTTACAGCAAAACCAGATCCCCTCCGAAAACGCCTGTGAACCAGACTGCAGCTACCTCAACAGGCCCCGTCCCTCCTCCCCCTCCTCCTCTTCCTCCCTCTCCAGCCCTTGTGGGCAACGAGATAAGCCCCCTCGCCCCCAAACCCAGCCCTTTTGCCACCCGCCTGCCCATCTACCCGGCTCACTCAGAGATTCTCCCGTATTTCCAGGATCCTCGGGCTCATCTCTCCTATGAAGCTCCGCCTTACCCGCAAACAGGTGAGGGTCCAGCTCAAGAAGGTTGTGTAAAACGGGTCCCCAACCTTCGCGGGCTGTCGGAGGGGAGGGGGGCGTGGGAGTGGCAGGCACACGCGTACATGCACAGCTCCGTTTTGTGTGAGCGGTGCGTGCGTGCACCCTCCATTCGCACGAATGGAGCTTCGTGCACGTGCTTGCCCATTTCTCCCGTGGCCCAGTAGTGGGCTGTGGCCCCGGGGGTTGGGGACTCCTGGTTTAAAAGCCCAGAGTGGGCCAAGAGCCGTGTTTCCCAAGCTTAACCCTTTTAAGAAGCATGGGCTTCAACTCCCGGCCAGAATTTGCAGCGAGCCAAGAAAGAAACGTACAGGCAGTCCTCGGCTTGCAACAGTTCATTTAGCGGCTGTTAAAATTGCAACGGCACTGAAAAAAGTGACTGACAGCCATTCTTTTCCCACTTAACAACTGTTGTGGCTTCACGAGAACAATATTTGGCCGCTCGGCAACTGACTCGTATTTAGGACGGTCGCAGCGTCCCAAGGGGTCACATGATCCCCCTTTTGTGACTTTCTGACGAGCCAAATCGTTGCGGAAGCCAGATTCGCTTAACGACCAGGTTACCAACCTCAACACTCCAGCAATTCGCTTAACTGTTGCTGTAAAATGGGGCAAAATTCACTGAACAATGGTCTCACTTAGTGAAATTTTGGGCTCCACTGTGGTTGTAAGTCTGGTCCTGGCTGGTTGTCAAGGTACTGATTGAAAAGCTAACCAGCTGGTGTAATGTAAGATTTAATGACGGGAATGACTCAGCAGGGTCTGTGTCTCTTGAAGAGCTTTGTATAAAAGGGAAGGCTCCGCAGATGTGTGCGCTCTCTTTTTGTTTCCTTGCTGTAACTGCTGTGTGTTGGATACTGCTGTATTACCACGTGTATGTATATTGTTCCGGGTGTATGATATTGTAGATAGATTTTCTGCCCAGTGGGGTCTGCCTGGCATCCCTTGTCTTGATTTTGAGAAGTGTTCTCGGTGGGGGGTTTCTAGCTTTTTTCCTTCTGCATGTAATAATAATAATAAAGTTGGAAGGGACCTTGGAGGTCATCTAGTCCAACCCCCTGCTCAGGCAGGAAACCCTATACCATTTCAGACAAATGGCAGTCCAGTCTCTTCTTAAAAACTTCCAGTGTTGGAGCATTCACCGCTTCTGGAGGCAGGTTGTTCCACTGGTTAATTGTTCTAACTGTCAGGAAGTTTCTCCTTAGTTCTAGGTTGCTTCTCTCCTTGATGAGTTTCCACCCGTTGCTTCTTGTCCTGCCTTCAGGTGCTTTGGAGAATAGCTTGACTCCCTCTTCTTTGGGGCAGCCCCTGAGATATTGGAAGACTGCTATCATGTCCCCCCTCGTCCTTCTCTTTGTTAAACTAGACATACCCAATTCCAGCAGCTGTTCCTTATATGCTTTAGCCTCCAGTCTCCTGTGTAAGTGTAAGAAGGCAGAGTTCAACTATGCATTTCCTTCTGTAGGATATTATCCAGGCCCCCCGGCGGTCCCTACAGCGGTGCCTCCCTGCCTCCCTCGCTTTGTGAGGTCCAGCAGCGTCTCCGAATCCTCTCTCCCGCCGGCCTCTCTACAGTACAGTGAACCTTACGGCACGTTTCCTTCTCGGGACAGACTCACCGCTGCTTACCAACAGGCACAACCGCAGCCCTACGGGCCGGTGCCACCGGTTCCTTCCGGGATGTACGCCCCGGTTTATGACAGCCGGCGTATTTGGCGACCACCGATGTACCAGAGGGACGATATCATCCGGAGCAACTCCTTACCTCCCATGGAAGTCGCCCACCCCTCCGTCTATCACAATTTTGTGCGGGAAAGATACGGCTCTTTGGACAGCTACTGTTCGGTGCCCTGCCAGGTGCCAGCGGAGCAGAGGGCTGTGCCTTGGGCAAGGGTAGGTGCTCCAGAATTTAGCCGGAGAGACTGCTGTCTAGATTGGTGAAGGAATCCCTCTTCCCTGCTTTTCCGAGAGATTCTGAGTTTTGCATTGCTGTCTGTTTTCTTTCCTTAAATCAGGGGTCTGAAAACTGGGCCACACAAGTAGATAATAACGCGACTTTCAATTTCTGAGGGCTTAGAGCAGGGGGTCTCCAGCCTTGGCAACTGGTGGACTTCAACTCCCAGAATTCCTTAGCCAACCTCATGCTGCCTGAGGCATTCTGGGAGCTGAAGTCCACAAGTCTTCAAATTGCCAAGCTGGAAGACCCCTTGCTTAAGAGCATAGCTGGCTGAGGAATTCTGGGAGTTGGAGTCCACAAGTCGTAAAGTTGCCCAGTTTGCAGACATCTGCCTTAGATGACAGCGCTGATGTTAATGTCATGGTTCCGAATAGGCAAGACCAACTAAAGCAGAACTTTGAGGCTTGAGTTTTTCCTCTAGGGCAGGGGTAGGCAACCTTGGCTCTTTTATGACTCGTGTACTTCAACTCCCAGAATTCCCGAGCCAGCCATGCTGAGGGGAAAGGGAGAGGTTTCCAAGCTGAGCCATGCTGGCTCAGGAATTCTGGGAGTTGAAGTCCACGAGTCATGAAGGGGCCAAGGTTGCCTATCCCTGCTCTAGGAACATGTTTATTGGTTATAAAGTATAGGCACGGACAGTCAAAAGTGAAACCGAAACTAAAGTTTTCTCTGGAAAGTTGAATTTCCCAGCCTATTACTATGGCACGCAGTCAATTATGTTTCCCAATAGATTAGCTTGGCGGCCTTTGTGACAGAAAGCTTAGCCTCCCAGTTTAATAAACAGAACTGACCTTGGTTCCCACGGGGACAGAGAATCGTTTAAGCTCTGAGGAGGAATGGTAGGTTTTTGCTGTTGACGTACGTGTACGAGTAGTAAATCACGGCACGGGTGGCCCCATGAACTGGGCTGAGGGAAGTTCAAATGATTTGGGTTTGGAAGAGTTTTGCTTTGCTTTGGCTCCCAGCCAAGCAGTCCTTGTTTAACGACCTTAGTTGGCCTCAGAATTCCCACTGCCAAGCGAAGCCGTCGCCAGACGAAACGTCGCAGTGTCTGCACTGCACAGCAACACCAGTTCTGGTCGCCCTGCTTGCAGTCATTAGACGAGGACCGTTCCAAGAATACGGGAACGCTTGAGTCGTTGGGTATGAGATGGGCGGTAAATAGATTTCCTAAATCGATCAATAAGCTCAGTGCCCACTCGTAGCAAGTTTGCTGAGTGTCGCTTGGCCTTCATAGACGCCCCACTGGATCTTCCTTGTAGGAACCTTGTGGACATCTGAAGCCTGCCTACGAGGACCCTCTCCGAAAGAAACCGGAACAGTGGGCGCCTTGCCACATCCCGAAAGTGCCCGTGGTGACGACGTCCGCTCTCCCTGCAGCCGCACCGTCTCCGTCCTCCCCTTCCCCTTTCTTCAGCGTGGACTTCAGTTGTGAAGTAAGGCCCCAGAAGACCCCTCTGGGAGGGAGGGAGGGAGGGAGGGAGGGAGAAGGACCCTTGTGCCTGACAGTTTGCATGTCTTGCTTTCTTCCTTCTTTTCTTCCTTCCTTTCTTTCCTTCTTTCCTTCTTTCTTTCTTTTTTCCTTTCTTCCTTCCTTTCTTTCCTTCTTTCTTTTTCTTCCTTCCTTCCTTCCTTCTTTCTTTTCTTCCTTTCTTTCCTTCTTTCTTTTTTCTCTTCCTTCTTTCTTTCTTCTTTCTTTTTTCTTTCTTTTCTTTTCTTTCTTCTTTCTTTTCTTCCTTTCTTTCCTTTCCTTCCTTCTTTCTTTCTTTTCTTTCTTTTCTTTCTTCTTTCTCTTCTTTCTTTCTTTTCCTCCTTTCTTTCTTTCTTCCTTCCTTTCTTTCTTTCCTTCTTTTTTCTCTTTCCTCCTTCTTTCTTTCTTTCTTTCCTTCTTTCTTTCTCTTCCTTCCTTTCTTTCTTTTTTCTTTTCTTTCTTCCTTTCTTTCCTTCCTTCCTTCCTTCCTTCCTTCCTTTCTTTCTTTCTTTCCTTCTTTTCCTTCCTTCCTTCCTTCCTTCCTTTTTTTCTTTTTTTCTTTCCTTCTTTCTTTTCCTTCCTTCCTTCCAAAAAGGCTTTCAACAGGAGACAGCCACTTGTCTGAAATGGGATAGGGCAGTGGTGGCGAAACTATGGCCCCAGCTCCGCCTCCCCCCGCGGCCCCCTCCTCACCAGCAGCCCCCCCCAGAGGAGAATCGTCCCTGGGCATGACCCACGCCGAGTCGTGGGACATGGCAGCCAGGCAGCAGGGACAAGACTCCGCCCTCCCACCCTGTCGCGCACAGATGATACTCCAGGGCATGGGCGGAGGGTGTGGCTGCCACGGTGCTGCTGGGCTGCCTGGGCGATCTGCTGCGGGCCGTGGAGGCGGTGGGTGGCCCTATGGGTGGGGGGCGGAACGGGTGGGGTGGAGGCGGGTTTTGGGCACTCAGTCTCTAAAAGGTTCGCCATCACTGGTATAGGGTCTCCTGCTTGAGCAGGGGGTTGGACTAGAAGACCTCCAAGGTCCCTTCCAGCTCTATTCTTGTGGATTGATTCTTTCTTTCTTTCTTTCTTTCTTTCTTTCTTTCTTTCTTTCTTTTTTCAAAAATGTTCTTCCTCTTGACTCTTAACTAGCTGGCAGGCTATTCCTTGCTGCTTTTTAGACCAGGAACGTGGGGCTTTGAGGAGAGGATACTGTATTTGCTCTTCCCTTCCCTTTTGCAGCCTGGGGAAAGGATCCCAAATTCCCTCAATATATTCATCCTTCCTTCTCCCCCCCCACCCCCGTTCTTCTCTCCCCCCTGATGGTTTCTGTCCTGTGCAATCAGATCACTTTCTTGTCCTCTTTCACTCTGTCCATCGCTACCCTCCTGCTGACCACCCAGGCTGACCTGGATGGTCTCTGCAAGGTGGTCAGGTGTGGTTTCCCCCCCCACTCCCCCTCCTGCTTCTTGCAGTTCAGCAAGAACTCCAGCGGCTCGAGCGACCCCAGGTACGAAGACGGCCAGCTGTGCCAGTACTCGCCCTGGTCCTGCAGCACCCTCAGCTCCTGCATCAGCGCGGTGGAGGCCGAGCCGAAGGACGTCCTGGCTAAATCCAGCACGGTCCTCCTAGTAAGGCCGCATCCTGGGGGGGGGTGTCCGTGGAGGTCCTGGGTCAGCCAGGTCATGGATGTTCCCAAAGGTGCTTTTCAAAAGGCAACTGGGCTTTCTTTTTTCCTTTCTTCTCCTCCAAGAAGCTTCCTATCAGACCTGCCCCAGTCTGGTCCCTTAGGGAAGAAAGACCCTCGACTCCACTGGATTGAAGTGAACGGTTCTTTTACTAAAAGATGTCTGGCTGCAGTAAAGTCAGGCTGGAGCTGAGTTTCCCACGCTCAAAAGGGGGTCTTTTTCCCCCCCATATCCCAGCCTATCCCCCCACATCCAGTCCCTCTTCAGCCAATAAAAGTCTGCTTAGGTGTTTTGAGAGCGCTGAGATGTTTTGAGTAGCTCAAGTTCTTTTTACCGCTTTGATGGCTGGCTGAGAACTTCTCTGGTTTCCATCAAGCTGTCACTTCCCCCTGTCAACGCTGCTCACCTTGGATGTTCTTGCTTTGACAAAATATGCAGAACTGTCTGGTATTTTTAGAGTTCACTTAGATCAGACATGTCAAACACAAGGCCCGGGGGGCCGGATGCGGCCCGCGACGTGGTTTCATGTGGCCCGCGAAGCCATCCTGGAAACAGTGAGGGAACGGCACCCCTCTGCCTTGGCCCTGGCCCAGGCCAGCCAGGAGCCAATGTACAATTTTGTGGTGGCCATCTATGCTGAAACGCATTCAGTCTTAGCTCCACAAGGCCGTCCGGAAACAGCGAGGAACCAGCCCCTGCCACGTCGGCCTCACCCTCTGGGTGCATGCTGGGGAGGGGTCACCCTTTGTGAGGAATGAAGAAATGGACCATCGCTTGGAAGTGGCCAGCAAATGGCCCTCGCCTACTTCACATATCCGGCTTGATGGGCTCCGGCGGAGGGGTTTCGGCAGGCAGTGAGGTTCCTCCAATGGACCATGCCTTGGCGCTTGCCCTGGTCCCACCCCCTTCTGCCAGAGATCCTCAGATCTGTCCCACTCCTGCCCAGGCCCCCACAGGGACCCTTGACACGAACGATGTAGATCTGGCCACGCCCACCCAGTAGGCCACACCCACTCCATCCACGCCCACCCTGGCCACACACACCTGCACACACACACACCCCCAGGGCAACTGCAATGCTGATGGGGCCCTCAATGAAATGGAGTTTGACACCCCTGACTTAGATGATGCTGGGAGGGGAGGAGAAAGAATGTGTGTAGGGAGTAATTTATTTTTTTTTTGTATATAATTTTTTATTATTTTGATTAAACAACCAATACAAAAGATGCATCTACAAACACCAAAAAAAAAAATCTTACTCAAAATATTTCCGGATACTCCCGGCCGTCCCCGCCTTGCCTCCACCCTTATCCACTTACCCTCTCTTTCCTCGTGTGTAGGGAGTAATTGAGATAAGGAATACAGGGGCTACAGAAGGGAAGTGCACTGCAAAATAGAGGAGGGGAATAGGCTGGAATGTTAGGTGCAGGGGAGGGGAATTCAGATCTTGGCATCCATCCGTGCTGTGCCCACACTTTGTGGCACGAATAAAGACTTTTTTAGGATAAACAATGCCCGGAAGTTCTTTGAAGTGTTTCATTAGTCGGAACCATGACACACACCCCTCCCCAGCAGAGTAATACAGATTTATTGCCCATTGGTTCTCCCCCCTTGCACAGCCTTTGAGGGCTGGACTCCAGTGAGGTGCCAAGCCGAGCATGGCAGACCTGACACTTCCTCACTTCGCCTCTGCAACTGAAGAAGCTTCTTGGACGAGAAACGAAACGCCTTCGAGGAAAAAACAAAAGTCCAGTTGCTTTTTGAAAAAGCACCTTTGGGATGTCCTGGAGGGGGGGACCTAAGATGACTTTGGGGAACCTGGAAGGGTCCTTTGGAGCTGGTGTTTCCGTGCCCCTCTCAGCCTTCCTTTCTGTGCAGGATCTGGACAGCGGAGAGCCCAAGAGGCCGGCCCATCTCTTTGAAACCCAGAGGAAGGCGAAGGAGGAGGACCCCATCATCCCTTTCAGCGACGGGCCGATCATTTCCAAGTGGGGCGCCATCTCCAGGTCATCACGGACAGGCTACCACACCACGGACCCTGTCCAGGCGACTGCTTCCCAAGGAAGCACTACCAAGCCCATCAGCATGTCAGGTGCGGGCAGCCCCTTCAAGGGGGGGAGGAGGAGGAGGAATAGAGAAAAAGGAAGGAGGGATGGAGGAGAAGGATGAGAAGGAATGGAGAGGGAGGACGGAAGGAGGGATGAAGGAGGAATGGAGAAGAAGGAAGGAGGGATAAAAGGAGGAATGGAGAAAAAAGGAAGGAGGAGGAGGAAGGAAGAAGGGATGGAGAAGGAGAAGGAAGAATGGACAAAGGAAGGAAGGATGGAGGAGGAGGAGAAATAGAAAAAAAGGAAGGGATGAAGGAGGAGGAGTGGAGAGNAGGAAGGGATAAAAGGAGGGGGAGGAATGGAGAAAAAAGGAAGGAGGAGGAGGAAGGGACGGAGAAGGAAAAGGAGGAGGAATGGAGAAAGAGGAAGGAAGAAGGGAGGGAGGAGGAGGAGAGGGAGGAATGGAGAAAAAAGGAAGGAGGAGGAGGAAGGAAGAAGGAAGGATGGAGGAGGAGGAATAGAGAAAAAGGAAGGAAGAAGGATAGATGAAGGAGGAGTGGAGAGAGGACAGAAGAAGGAGGGATGAAGGAATGGAGAAAGGAAGGAAGGAGGGATAAAAGGCAGAGGAATGAAGAAAAAAGGAAGGAGGAGGAAGGAAGAAGGAGGGATGGAGAAGGAAAAGGAGGAGGAATGGATAAAGAGGAAGGAAGAAGGGATGGAGAAGGAGGAGAGGGAGGAATGGAGAAAAGAAAGGGATAAACGAAGGAGGAGGAGGAATGGAGAAAAAAGGAAGGAGGAGGAAGGAGGGATGGAGGAGGAAGGAAGAAGGAGGGATGGAGAAGGAGGAATGGAGAAAGGAAGAAAGAGGGCATAGAGATGGAGGAGGAGGAGGAATGGAGAAAGGAAGGAGGGAGGGAAAAGGAGGAGAAGGAGGCGGGGGAGAGGAGCAGGGCAAGGCCCCGCTGAGCTGAGCTCCATCCTTGCCTCTTAAACAGATTATATCCCCAGCATCAGCTCCGTGGACTTGAGGTGGAGCTGCTACGCGCCCGAGTCCACTTCCTCGGCACCTTTCCTAGAACGGTAGGCAGAAGTGGCTTCCCCCCCCAGACCCGGCCAGGGCTGAGCTCCGCTCTCCCCGGCCCCTTGCTCATTCCCGGGAACCCCAGAACAGCCGCCTCCTTTGCACACCGGCCTCCGTGGTGGCGGGAGCAGAGTTTAATCCCTGCTGTTTCTCCCACAAGGGGCCTTTTTTTGCAGAGGCATCCGTGTCTCCAGGCTCCGTCCTGACTTTTCCGTCTCTCTTTCAAGGGACCAGTTCGTTTCTCCCGGGGAACCGGCTCCGCCAAAGCACTCGAGCACCGGAGATCTCCTGAGCACCGAATTGCAGCAGGTAACACCTTTCCCAAAGGCTGGATATCTGGGAGCCAGGAGCAGCTTCCTGGTTGCCGCAGGATCCACGGCCCCAGGGGCGGGGGGGGAGAGTGCAGCCATCTCCCCTGACCATTTGGGGGGGGGGACCGTATTCTGCTTTCCCCACCCAGGCCAAAAGTAACTCGGTGCTGCTCCAGAGAGAGGCCAACGCCCTGGCCACGCAGCAGAAGTGGGAGGCCCTGAGCGAAGGCAGCGCCCTCACCTTGACGCTCTTGAGCAAGGAAACGAACGGCCGGGTAAGCAGGCTTTTCTCTCCCCCCCCCCCCCGCCTCCATGTCCGCTGCACCAAGATCAAGGAGAGATTCAGCCTGGAAATAAGGAGGAATTTCCTGACAGGGAGAACAGTCAACCTGTGGAACAGGAGTTGCCTTCAGGAGGTGTGGGAGCTTCATCACCGGAGGCTTTCAAGAAGAGACTGGACTGCCATCTGTCAGAAATGGTGTACGGTCTCCTGCTTGGGTGGGGGGGTTGGACTAGATGACCTACAAGGTCCCTTCCAACTCTGTTATTCTATTCTGTTCTGTTCTATTTCTTTTCTGTTCTGTTCTATTCTATTCTATTTCCTAGTCTAGTCTAGTCTAGTCTAGTCTAATTCCTATTCTAATTCCTAGTCTATTCTATTCCATTCCATTCTATTCTATTCTAATTCCTATTCTATTCGATTCTATTCCCTATTCCTATTCCTATTCTATTCTAATTCCTATTCTATTCTATTCTATTCTATTCTGTTCTATTCTATTCTATTCTATTCTATTCTATTCTATTCCATTCCATTCCATTCCATTCTAATTCCTATTCTATTCTATGCTACCCTATTCTGCTCTACCCTACCCTACCCTATCCTAGACGTGCTTCTTTCCAACCTCTGTTTTATGTTCCCTTCCTTTCCTGCTCCTTCCCCAGGCTGACTCCCCCGAGGACAGCATGGGCACCAAGGCCAACCGAGACATTGAACTGGAACTTTCATCGCTGGACACTGATGAGGCCGAGGGGTCCGGAGAGCAAATGGAAGTACGTTCTTGACTCTACCCACACGTGGGCTATTATTTGTCTCCCGTCCCCAGAACTTCAGAGTGGTACCACTTCTTCCGGTCCAGATAGCTCACTGTGTCCACAGTTACTTAACAAGGCTGAGCTCAGATGGAGATGCCCATTGTAGCTGTTTATTTATTTATCAAACGTATGTAGCCACTTATCTCACAGGAAGTGACTCTCAGCAGCTTATAAGATTCAAAGAATAGGAAGGGAAGGGAAAGGAATAGGGAATAGAATAGAATAGAATAGAATAGAATAGAATAGAATAGAATAGAATAGAATACGGAATAGAATACGGAATAGAATACGGAATAGAAAATGGAATGGAATAGAATAGAATAATGGAATGGAATGGAATGGAATGGAATGGAATGGAATAGAATAGAAAATGGAATGGAATGGAATGGAATAGAATAGAATAAGGAATGGAACGGAACAGAACAGAAAGAATAGAATAGAATAGAATAGAATAGAAATAAGGAATAGATTAGATTAGATTAGAATAGAATAGAATAAATAGAATAGAATAGAATAGAAATAAGGAATAGAATAGAATAGAAATAAGGAATAGAATAGAATAGAATAGAATAGAATAGAATAGAATAGAATAGAATAAAAATAAGGAATAGAATAGAATAGAAATAAGGAATAGAATAGAATAGAATATAGAAAATGGAATAGAATAGAATAGAATAGAATATGGAATGGAATGGAATGGAGAAGAAAAGAGAAGAGAAGAGTTGGAAGGGACCTTGGAGGTCTTCTAGTCCAACCCCCTGCTCAGGCAGGAAGCCCTATATAATAAAGCAACACCATCAAAACCGTCCCGATTAAAAACAATCGTCCTACAAACAATTGTCCTGTCCTTTCCTCTTCCAGGAGATGCTGGGCCTGCAGCTCGCCATCGGCGGTCAGAGCGAGAACCTCTTCAACGGGTCAGCTCTGGAGAACGGTCACCTTGCGGAGCAGCCCCAGGTGGACGCCAGGCAGGCGAAGAGGCCTGTCCTGCATGAAGAGCTTGCTCGTTTGTGAGTGTGGGACAGAAACAGAAAAGTCCAGTCTCGCTCAGGAACCTCAGGGCAAAGTTTCCCTGCGCAGAAGCGTTCATCCACGCTCTTCCCATCCGTTGTGCTTTCCTTGCTGTGGCTGTGGAGATTCACAACCCCCCAGGTCCCAAAAGTGCTTTTTCACGAGGCAGCTGGAGTTCTTTTTTCGTCTTTGAAGACGTTTCCCTTCTTATCCAAGAAGCTTCTTCAGCTCTTCCTTGCTGTGGGTGGAGCTTCTCATATCTGATTCTTGCTGCCCTTCTTTCCCTCGCTCTCTTGGTGGCTGTAGGCCCCAAACAACGGTTAGATTTCAGGGCCGACCCGTGTCCCATCCCAAAGAACTGGACTTCCTTAGTTTCTTTCCTTGAAAACATTTCCCTTCTCATCCAAGAAGCTTCTTCAAGTTCAGAATGAAGAAGCTTCTTGGATGGGAAGCAAAACGTTTTCAAGGGGGGGAAAAAATCCCCAAGAGAGTTCAACTGGAAAAGCACCTTTGGAGCAGTCATGACCTGGATGGTTGAGAATCTCCATAGACATTTGACCTGAATGTATCCGAAGCAGAACGTCCATTTTCAGCCACACTTTGGTTCCACACGGTATTAACCTTGTGAACTCTAAAGCAGGGGTCCCCAACCCCCGGTCCGTGGCCGCAGCATGCCAGCAACCGGTCCGCACAAACAAGCAAAGCCCCATCCGCGGGATGCAGGCAGCACACAAAACCACACACCCTCCGGTCTGTGGAAAAACCACGGAACCAGTTCCTGGTGCCCAAAAGTTTCTCTAAAGTTTCCTCCTTCCATTATGTATTCAAGATGGTCAGTGATTAATATTTATATGTTACTTATATGTAAGGGTGTAGGTCTATACATACGTTGTATATAGTATGTTTAAATTTGTGTTATGTATGTGTACACTTTGAGAGCAAGCAAAAATTTCATTTTTAATGTGTGCCATTATGCCCACAGTAAAAAAAATGACAATAGTTATCTATCTATCTATCTATCTATCTATCTATCTATCTATCTATCTATCTATCTATCTATCTATCTATCTATCTAATCTATATCTTATCTATATCTTATCTATCATCTACCTTATCTACCTATCTTATCTATCTTGTTTACCTATCTATCTATCTATCCTTCTTATCTATCATCTACCTTATCTGTCTTATTTATCATCTATCTATCTTATCTATCTCTATCTCTATCTAATCTATCTTTATCTATCTATCTATCTTATCTATCATCTACCTTACCTAACTTATCTATCTATCTATCTATCTATCTATCTATCTATCTATCTATCTATCTATCTATCTATCTATCTATCTATCTATCTATCATCTACCTTATCCACCTAACTTATCTATCTATCTATCTTATCTATCATCTATCTGTCTTATCTATCTCTGTCTATCTTATCTATCTAATCTATCTTTATCTTAACTATCTTATCTATCATCTACCTTACCTACCTTATCTATCTAATCTATCTCTATGTATCTTATCTACCTATCTCATCTATCATCTACCTTATCTATCTATCTCTGTCTATCTCTGTCTGTCTATCTCTGTCTATCTTATCTAATCTATCTCTATCTAATCTATCTATCCATCCATCCATCCATATCTTATATTTTCATACATCTTAATCATGATCATGGCTGAACATCTAAACACTCTTCATCTAGTAGTTGTAGAATTCTCATCATCTGCCCACTTCCGCCAGTAGAAGACCTCTCTAGGACTTCATAATTCTTCTTTCCTCTTCACAAAGTGCAGGTCAAGAAGCTTCTATGCCTCCAGTGTGACCAGGTTTTCTTTTGTCTTCCCCACCCACCCACCCACCCTTCAGGGAGAAGCAGACGGGGGTCTTGCCAGCGGCGTCCTGTTTCAGCCAACCCACGGAGACGGCAGGCAGCAGGATCTCCCTGCCCATCATGACGTCCGCCAGCATGGGCAGCCTTCTTCTGAAAACAGCCCACGGCCTCGTGGACGGGCCAAATGACTTTTTGAGGCCGATTGCAAACGGCAAAATGGTGAACACGTGAGAGGTGCTTGGCTTTCAGGCTTGTGGTCATGCTAAGAAGTGGTTAGCTTTGTTTTGGTTTCTCTCTCTCTCTTTCTCTCTCTCTCTCTTATTTTTTTTTGAAAAAAAATCCTGTCAGGGTCATTTGTTTCCCGTGGACTTTTTAATACATCGGACTCTTCTTGTGTCTTAGCTTTCGGGATAAATGACAGCCCCTTTGCTAGGGATTCAGACGTTCACTTTGCACACCCCAACCGTGTGGGATCTGGATGTGTTTTCCCTTTAAAGCGGCTTTTCGGTGAGGCCGTAGACGTCCCCGAGTCATTCCTGTTAACACTCACCTTTTGTAGGGAAGCATCCAAAACTAAAGCCAGTCATTTCAGGGGTGGGGGGAATGTTGTGGCTCACCGGAGTACAATTCAGTTGTTTGGCTGGCCTTGTTTTGAGAGGAAGGAATTTGCACTGACTTGAAGTGGCTAGTTTCTTCCATGCTGGAGCTTTGCGTGGACAAGCGTCGGTGAGACAAAAAGAGGGCATGAGGATGACCCCCACACAAGACTCTTTCTTCAGGGCATTTAGCGTGGCAACATTGGTGCCTCTGTACGTAGCAGTGGGTCACCTCTTCCCGTCCCGTCTCTTCGGCAGCTTGGTCTTCCTGGGCCTCCAGTGACTTTTCTGTATACAAATTATCGGCAGCAAAGTCCAACCCAAGTGCCTGGGCTTCCCCACTTAACGTACTTGGTTCTTTCTTGCTTAAAGTGGCAAGTTGACAGCTCAGCACGGGCGTGGCAAAGAGCGCTCAATCTCCCAGCCCATTGGCAGGCTCCCCCTCTTGGCATTTAAGTCCTCCCCAATTTTTCTCTCCAAAAACGAGGCACCTAAAACCCGTGTTTGCACCGAAGACTGACACGGTATTCCCCTTCCTCTTCGTCAAAACCACGGAGGATTAGCGGTCCTTTTAAATGCTCCCAATATTGAGTTGGGCATCGTGTTGCTGAGAATGCCCAGTATTTAGATTTGTTAGTGATTTAACTCCGGTGATCATCTTGAACGCTTCATGATGTAGCTTGAGCTGGGCTTGTACAGAACAAGGGGGTGGGGGGAAAAAGAAGTCCTCTTTAAGATGTGATTTATTTATTTATTTTTTGGGAAGATCTTAGAAGTCTAAAATTGGAACGTTCTCCCCTGCGACCTCTTAGCTGTGCTCTTTTCCCGCTTTAAAATCTACTTCTGCGGAGCAAGGGGACGTCAGGCTATCAAGGAAGAACATTCTCCCTTATTGGTCCTCCTCTGCAGCTTCCTTTTTTTTATAATTTTTATCATTTTTACATTTTTCTTCCTTTTTTTTGTTTGTTTTTGTTTTAAGAAAATGTTTGTTAATTAACTTCTGTGAAGTTGTTTACTCTGGAAATAGTACTGGAATATTTTAGCCAAGCAGCCCTTTCACCAGAATACTATTTTATATTTTTGGATTGCTAACAAAGAATTAAGGGAGAATGGAATAGCTATTTCGAGCTAATTAGCTCTCATCAGCCAGACATACCCTTCTGAGATTCGAACCCGGGCTGCTTGACGTTAGGCAGCTGCGTTGACCTCTAGGCCACAGGCTCCTTCTCACTTTGTCAGCTGTGTCAAGGAGGGAAGAGACAGGGGAGGAGAATTACCTTGAGTGCTTTTTGATACACCCTGTCGGCCCAAATATGGGTTCGAATCTCAGAAGGGTATGTCTGGCTGATGAGAGCTAATTAGCTCGAAATAGCTATTCCGTTCTCCCTTAATTCTTTGTTAGCAATCCAAAAATATAAAATATATATAAATGATGTCGCAGTAGCGACTGCTGCCTGTGGATGGCTCTAGATTGAGCTGATGGTTAATGATATCAGTAAAAATATGACTCCCGGGTGTATTCATTATGAAATAACTAATTAATTTACGATCACCAGGAGGGTTTAAGTAAAAATACTTTAATTGAAAACCGAGCTTTCGTTGGGAGCTCCCAACATCACCATATATATATATACACACACACACACACACACACATACAAGGGTTCATCCTTCTATCAAATGGGTGACAAAAGAAAACATTTAAAAATGATCATCTTATTGGCAGAACAAAGCTGGTACTGCGACATCACAACAGTTTTCACATTCACAACGTTGTGGCATTTCTCTAAGGGCTGCAGTTCTAACTTGGATCATTGGGAAAAAACGAAATCTCACTTCTGACCTGGCGTGGCGCGTGAAAAAAATTATGTTGTACATATGGATTAAAAAAAAAAATACAAGGACTACTTGTTTTGATAATTCCAGCAATGTCGTGACGGTTTTTTTTAAACCTGCTAATTTAATAGTGAGGTGCAAAAGGCTATTTCTATAGCCACCAAATTCCTTTCCTTGGATTTTCGTACCAGTTCCCAAAGTTTTCCTTTTTACCGTGGCTCTTAAACTCAAGGGAACTGAAAATCAAGATTTTGGTTACGTATCTCTTCTGGTGACTGTTAACATCCAATGGCCAAATTCTCAATTTAGCCGAACAATTCTTGTATATAGGGATTTATATACATATATATATATATATATATATATGCATATATATATGACATTTGAAATGCTTCCAGAAATTTTCTTTGCGCTGTTCTAGACTTCGGACTTTAAAAAAATCTGATAAAGAGAGATGTAAAACAATCTCATTCCTATGCGGATAGTTAGTCAATGAGGTCTTCCACGCTTTTGAAGGCAAAAATGATTTTTCCAAAAAGAGAAGGAGCGAAAGAAAAAATTGCATTGCTATTTTGTTATTAAAATAGAAGAAGATAGAGGCTGGAGAGATCCTTATCTGAGTGCCACCAGTTATCAGGGGTCCAAATGTGCATTATCTGATCAGATTACCTTTATTTTCGCTGTTAACGTGTTTTGATTTTCGTGGCTTGCTTCGTGATGAACTGTCTTTTCTCTCTCAGGATTTGGCTGCTTGCAATCAATTGTTTACACACCGTTCTTTCTCTGGTGCCATCAGAAAGCTCCCGATAAGCTTGTTTTAATTTATTTTAGTTTGGGGCGAGCAAGCAAGGAACTCACCTGCCTTAGAGCAGCTTGATTTAAAAAATAAAAGCACTGGAGGGAGAATTGCAGATCCCAGAAAAGAGCTGAAATCTGAGCAAGGGCCCTTTTTTCCCCTCACCAGCTTTTGCAACCCAGCTGTGGCACCTTGCTGTGAATTTATTTTTATTTTTTTTTACGTTGGGCGCTTTTCGCCACGATTAGAATCTCCAAGTTTTATTCTCTTTTTTGGTGGGAGAGCGGTGGTCCTGAGGCGACCACTTGAGAAGCAGGGTCTGTTTTAAGGCTCTTGAGTTTGCAGAACTAGAGCAGATGAGAAGAGCCAGGAAGAAGGAAGACTAAGCTGCTTCCTACTGAGAAATGAAGGAGAAATGTTGGCTTATTGCACAAACATACCTGTACTGTAGGAGCAGAAGATAGTTGAAATCAGTTTATTTGCCTTTCTTATATTCAGCCCTTCTGTAAGCAGAGTTTGAGCATGAATAGAAGAATGGCCACTGTTTGTATTGGACCAGACTTAAGGGGAGAATCAGTGTTGCAAAAACATTAGGGCAGGGGTCTTCAAACTTGGCCCTTTTATGACTGGTGGACTTCGCGTGCCTAGCTGAGGAATTCTGGGTGTTGAAGTCCACCAGTCATAAAAGAGCCAAGTTTGAAGACCCCTGCATTAGAGCTTCGAAGGGGAAGTTTGGCATTGCCAAAACCATGTGTGGTGCTAGTCTTCGGTAGACACTTATCCACAGGGCATCTCCTGCGCAGGTTTTCCATCAGCACTGAGTGGTGTAGCCGTGCTTCTTCAACACACCCTGCAACCCGCAGATATCTCATCCTTGCTGAATGTGTTATTTTGCCCAGAAAGACAGCTCAGAAGAGTATGGATCCATAAAGAGAGGCAGAATATTCCTTCCACAGAGTGGACACGGCAAATGCACAGCAACCAGAATAGAGGAATGGAGGATAAGCTTTTTTTAAAAAAAAAACAAAAACAAATCCAGACCAGTTGTTGTGAATGTTGACTTAAATAAATAATCATAGCATTTGTGCAGAGAGCTTAGCCCGCAGCGCCAACTAGGTTTTGCACAGTGCAATGAGAAAAGAAAGATGCTAACCATTTTTTGAGACCTGTTTTGTTTTTTTTTTGTCAGCAGGTATGGTTTTCCAGTATTTATTTTGTTCTTTGCAGAGTTTAAATCTGAATGCACATCTTTGGAAAAAGTGAACTACGCGCTATCCAGGGGTTAAGTTTGTTTTGAAGCACCTTGTATTTAGGAAGACTCTCTATCTCTTATGGACTAGAGCAGCGGTCTTCAAACTTGGCCCTTTTATGACTTGTGGACTTCAGCTCCCAGAATTCCTCAGCCAAGGCACACGTGCCTGGCTGTGGAATTCTGGGAACTGAAGTCCACAAGTCATAAAAGGGCCAAGTTTGAAGACCCCTGGAGCGATGACTGATTGGCCAGCTCTTTCAATCTTCAGTTATTTCTTTCACACAAGGAAGGTCCCCGCACCGTAGCACGGATTCTTGCCTGCCAGAGGTGTTGGACTGCAAAATCCATCATTCACAGCCAATACAGGTCGTCTTGCTTTGGTCAGATATGCTGGGGGTTGTATAGACCAGAATATCTTGTTCGCCTCCTACAGTAAGGAGATGTCAAAAGGGTACATGACAAAGGAAAGATTTTTCCAGACACATTCATGCACCTATGCTTTTGCAAAACTTTAATGGACTTTTTATGTACTTGACAAAAGTCTGACATTAAAGAACTCCTGGCTGCATCTGCAAGTGTCAGACACAGGGAAAAAGCTGATCTTAGTCCTCTCCTTAATTAATTCTCGGTCAGTTAGTCCAAGGCATAGGAAATGCATGCATTTCTCTTTTTTGCGGGGTGGATAAATCCATTATACTGTAGTTGTGATACAACACGTGTGGTTCTTTTCTTTCTACTGCACACAGCAACTG